ATTTCTAATTCACATTTGGTAAGGGGTTAACTTTACATTTCTAATTCAAATTTGGCAAGGGTCTAACCTTAAATGTTTACATTCAAATTTGGCAAGGGGTTAACCTTACATTTCTAATTCAAATTTGACAAGGAGTTAACCTTACATTTTTAATTGATGTTTTTTAAGAGATTGACCTTATATTTTAATTGTAAATTAGGCAAGGGGTTAACCTCGTATGCTTAGATCAAAATTGGCAAGGGCACCTTAACATTTTTTTACCAGAATTTTGAAAAAGTTTAAACTTACATTTTTAATTCAAATCATGCAGGTGAAATATGCATGAAATATCGCAAGGGATCAGCCTTTCTTAAATTCAAATTTGGCAAGGGGTTTACCTTATACATTTTTTATCAAATTGTGCAAGGGGTTAACCTTTATGGGTTTTTTGGGGGTTTTTTTGCACAAGAGGTCTACTCATGCGTGTCCCTGTGAACAAAAGTACACACCCCGAAGATGGCCGCCTCACAAACGGTCTATTGCCATAAAGTCAGTTACGAAGCTCATGCTTAAACATAGTCCATCATTTGTAATTTGTGCATTTTGTTCGTTTGAAGCAACAAAAGTGTTCAAAATCTAATGAAGGATACTGAACAACTAACCTGATGAAGTTTCAGCTCAGCTTTCAGCTGTATATTCCGAGAAAAACAGCATTCTAGAATCTCAATTTCAAATCAAAAGTTGCTAAATCATGTTTTGAATTGCAGCTTTACGCGATGTCGCGCACTGATCCGACGAATTATAGCAACCGGAGGGCGCCTGTGCGTCGTGCCAATGCTTGCGCGCTGCGCCGAATAACAAAACGAACTACTAATTTAAATTTTCCTATGGTGCTTCTTAAGACGCACCGTTGGAAATGCCTTCTTTCGTTGATTTCTCCAAAGTGAGAGCTTGCCAGAAAGAATAATTTCACAGGGAGTTTGGTCCCCTTACTATCTTTCAACCAAGTATGTTTTTCAACAATAATTACGCCAGTTACTTTTTTGGATAGCTGCAAATGATGGACTCCGGCTTTAACCCTAACCTTATCTAAAGCTTAATACCACTGAGTATGACATGTACATGTAGCATGTATTTCTTTCCATACAATTGTGCACAACACATGTAGTATTCTGTGGTATTTGGTACTTGACCCCTCAGGAGCCCTCAGGAGCCCTCAGGGAGTTAGCTGGGACCGTCTTTTAATACAGAAAAAAATGCAATGTCTTGTCATTGTTTGGGTAAATTAAAGACATGAAAGGGAAAAGGACAAAGAGCTTGGTGGAAAAAAGAAACATTTTTAACCGTCTTCATTCAGAGGCTCAATGCTTTGTAGTAAAACAGGGATACATGGATTTTTTCCCATTGAAAATATATTTTTTTTGATAATGTAATTAAGACAATCTCCCCCTGGACGTCTCCATTATGTCCTTGTCCTTGTAATTACGGGGAGTATGTCATTCAGGATCTCGGTCATGTTGTCTTGCGGGAACATTTCGTGAAATTAAACTGGATCGAATCTGATTAACCGTCTTCTCATTAACCGAATGAAATGTATTAGAAGGAGACATGTAAACAAAACAAAAAGGAACAATAAAGACGGACAATAACGTGTGCTGGAAATGTTTCAATGCTTTCGGTCTTTGTCTGCAGTGATGCCTAGATCCCATTAGCTGATGAGAACCTCCAAATACAATACAATGTATATGAAAGGGCTCGCGATTCAGAAAATTATCAAATGTTATAAGAAAGAGTGTCACTCCTCTATTTTTTTGTACAACTAAACCATAACTTGTGTAATATTGAACGGTTGGCGACTGTTATCTGTTCATATCAATGTGTCGTTATAAGCACTTCAGATATTTGTTTTGCTAAATATCTTTCGGCATGGAGTTCAACATGTGCCTTGTCAGAAATTTGTCAGAATATTTGATCTTGTTTAATCCATTTTAAGTAAGCGTTAATTGTTAGGAAATATTTTGTTGAAATAATGACTAACCCTTAAGATTCGTTTAAGGAACTGAGCTGCGGGAAGCATATTCCAATATAAAAACACCTTTTTTTCATCTTTGTATTTTCATTATTCGAGCAATATCTAGGCTCGATACGTCACACAATATAATTTGAATATCTAAGCTCGATACGTCACACAAATTGTTATGCGAAGCATGCCGACTACTTCGAATCATAAAGTCGTCCTCAAAGATTGATCATGAATAGCAAACTACCTACCCAACAAATAAAAATCGTTCAAAGTCATTCTTGATGATATTTAAATGACCACTTACAAATTACATGTACTGAGGTATAAGAGGGTCAGAAAAATGTCACACTTTTGGACCATAAAATGACCAATATCTTTCTGTTAACGCAGTGACCAGATCATCCACCATTTTAGTGTACAGTAAAGCTGTACATTGAGATTTGAAGGTTTGCATGGTGGAAAGACACTAAGACAATCTAAGTTTGCGATAGCACCATGTGAATAAATCTCACTGTGTACTGACACGCTCCAGTGATCATTTAGCATCCTTCTCAGCTTCACCGGTCTCGAGCTTCACCAGTTTGCATCCTTCTCACGCCTCACCGCACCCATCCTTATAACATCGCTTCATCGTTGGAATCCCTCATTCTCCTGACGATCGGCAGAGCATACTGTTCGAAACGTTGAGTCCCTCCGGTTCTTTTCAGAACCACACATACTCACAAAAGAGATTTATTCACATGGTGCTACCGCAAACTTATCTTGTCAAAGCTGTACATTTCTTGATAAAAGTCTGTATGTATTTATAGTAAGGTAATAGAATTTAAAATAAACAGAATAGACACAAAAACTCACACAGTGCTTCCAATACCGAAATCGGTCGATTTCTTCTTAGGTTTTGCAACTTTTAATAGACGAATCAAAAAATATTGTCATGTCCGGCCCGATTCATTTCGGATTATGTACAGGAGGGACAGGCTTTCGATAACACGGTAATTAAAAACAACATCTGTTATTATGTCATCCAATAAATATGAATAAGAAAAGTTCGGGGCGTCTCAATATTTATACAACCCCTTTTTGTAATAATAAACACGGCTAGAACTTGGAATAAAAAAAAGTCAGATGTGTTTTTTGTTTTTTGTTTTTTACAATGACAATGCTACTCGTACACCACAAACGTAACACTAAATGCGAGAATAAAAACCTGTTCAGTGTGCTGGTGTCCTAGTGAAATATGTGTCAAGTGAATCTAACCTGGACAGACCCAACCTTTGTATTGCGGTCAGTATGAAAGTTGCCAGCAATTGATGTTCAGAGCAATATTATGATGAACATTTGGATGAAATTAAAACAAGTTAGCGTTACATCACAACTCTAAAATGTGCATGGACCAATTCCCACAGATTTTTCCAAGTTTAACTGTATAATTGTGTTTGGTAAATTGTGTTTCTGAAATAATTAAAATCCAAAAACCGCTGTCAGATTTGATGAAGTTATTAAATTAAAAACTGCCGAATCAAATCCTTATTCAATGGCTAAACATGGAGAACAAATTTGTGCTTTTGACGTTTTGAGAAGCACGTAACAAAGCTCAATAAATAACATTTGAAACTATTCATTTGAATATAAATAACAATTCAATCAGAATTTTGCTGAAAACTTCAAATTTAAGAAGTATTTTTTTCCCTTTGCATTCTACTAAAATGTCAATAAAAATATTTTACAAATGATATTTAGTTTAAAAAAAAGACAGTGAAGTATAAGTTGTCAGTTGGCAATTTGTTGGATTGTGATCGTCCAAGCATTTTTTTTATATTAAATTCGAAACAAGAACAAGTTAGGTTCAGACATTGAAATGTATCTTTTGTGTACTCGATCAGTACAAATACTAACAAAATATTACTACTTCATTCAGAGAGAAAGCCAAAGAAATAGGAAAAAATAAGGGAAGACTGTAAATGAATTGATGTAGCCACATTTTGGGAATGAACAGAGTTTTTTTCTATTTTGCCCCTGGTTTTTTCCCCCGTTTCTTTTGTTTCATTTTATCACAGTTCATAAACGTATTAAATCAAAAACCTGATTTGTCTATAAATTAAGAGAAAACTCTCTGCAACAAGCTCTGGGCCGAAACTGAGTGCAACAAAGTTGAATTCTTGTCACATCACAATTCTTTTCTTTTTTGCTTTCAGGTTTAATTTCTACTGTTTACTCCCAACTTGGATATAATTAACCTAAAAAAATAAGAAAGTTTCAATGTGCTTTTGATTTTTGGCAAACTTTACACTGTGTGGTTGAAGGCAATGGCACATTGTTTGTAACTGAACTATCAAAGTCCATATTATACAAATAATGAATGTTTATGAGTGCAATGGTAAGAATAATTTTGTGAAATTATTCTTTCCACTGCACAAATGTGAAACATTCATTATTTGTTTGATACAACACCTTAGTCAATCCTTGTCATCTCATTGGTCAGAGGCACCAAAAGTGTAACCGTGCAATGGAACTTCTATATACTGTGGAATAGAACTTCTATATACCGTTGAATAGAACTTCTATATACCGTGGAATAGAACTTCTATATACCGTGGAATAGAACTTCTATATACTGTGGAATAGAACTTTTATATACCGTGGAATAGAACTTCTTATATACCGTGGAATAGAACTTCTATCTACCGTGGAATAGAACTTCTATTTTAGCTGTGCGGCCTGGCCATGTGTTGGGACGAATAATTCAGTGACACGTTATCAATCAACGACCAACCAATCAGATGACGGGGAATTTTTTCAGGCGTTGTATAAAAAGTAATAGTTGTTAGGCTGGACAGCTTCCGAATGAAAACAAGTATGGTATATTGTATGAAGAGTTCTTTTCAAACTCTACATGCAAAAAAAACCTGTCTATCCAACACAAAACATCTCTTGGATTTTGTGACAAGGTTACGTATGACATATCCACTCATAGCAAACTTCTGTTTCTTTTCTTTTGTTTTTTTGGCTGAAACACAAGAAAAATGTGAAAACTGAACCTGTTTTCTTTCTGTATCCAGAACCACTTTTGGCATCTTAAAAATTGGGGTTTGTACACACAATCTGACACATAAAACTTTGGAACCGTCAACTTTCGGAAATTCGGTATTAAAATCCAAGGCTTTTTGTATGTTTTTCACAAAACTAAAGCGTGATACACAGCCGAGTGATAAAAAAACCTGTTCAAAAAACATCCAAACAAATTTGTAATACAAAACTCTCAAAAGGTTCCTCGTCATAATTTACAAAGTTGAAACTATGAAAGAATAATTATAAGTAAAGTCTGTACAACGCCAATCCCTGGTTAATGATGATTCATACAAAAAAGTGTCCAAGCTTGGTTTTGTACAGGTCGCCGATTCTAGAAAATATCATGTTTAAGATTACGTGAGATTCACATCTGCGGAGAATGGATGTACGGGCAAAATGGAGTATATCAATTCGGGCGATTCACAATGCAGTGCGCCACCAAGAGTTTGCCACAGAGAGTTCATTTTTCCCAGTGCATTGTGGGAGATGGTCGACAAATTGGCAGCACGGGACATTTGAATTTGTTAGTTTTTCTGGTCAGTAGTTTCGTAAGCGTATGATTCGAGTATCTGTTTGCCCTTTTCAGTTCTTTTTATCAATTTGGGGTTTGTTGTAAGGTGGCAGAATGCTTTGCCCCAATCAATAACAAATTAGCTCAAGTTGTCTACTGACACTTATCCAAATGGGCCGTGTTTTGTCGACCGTAAATTTGAAAAATGGACTCTCCGTGGCAAACTCTTGGTGGCACACTGCATTGTGAATCGACCGAATTGTACCCCCTTAACGGCAAAAATGTGTATCATCACTGTCAATAAAAGACCTTCCCCCAATAGGCAAGCAGTCTTAATTTTGTTCCATGTTCTCTTCTATTTTCTGTAACAATTTTGTAAAAAAAAAATGTACTGAATAATAAAACAGACAACCAAATCAATGCCATCGGTCAACTTTGGGGAGAAAATGGACAAAATATGTGAAAACCAAATATTTTGATATTTTCCTGTAAAATGGCGTAACAGTTTCAAACAAGAGTATTTCATAAAACCTGAATTATTCACAAGAAATTTAAAAAAAAAATTAATACTTGTTTGAAGTGTGTTGAAAGTGTCTGGATGATAAGTTACTGGCCTTTGTGACAGTTGGTGTTTGTGGGCGTGGTTTCCATGCACATTGTGGTCGGCTGGGCTTGGGGTCAAATGTCGCAGGTCAGAGGTTGAAGTTCAAAAGGTCGTGGAGCTGTATTTACACCATGAAGTCACTATCATCACTGTCATCATCCTCGTCGCTGTCATCAACATAGTGAGCAAGAGTTAAGAAAAACAGCGAAAATTCATTGCAACAAATAACAATAAAATAATTTATTCAAAAAGATGAAATTGAGCAACCATACAGAAATGACTACAATGCATGACAGAAAGTAAGTTGGGTAGAAAATATTGAATTTGTTTTTTTTAAAGGATATTTTTCGTCGTTTCTTCCGTGGCTTGGGTGTTTTCTTGATGACTTTCGGTGCGGGTTTTCTTCCTTTCGGCTTCGGCCGTTTGACTTTGTGTACCTTCAGAAAAACAAAAACAAAACAAATTCCATTTAATAACTGTCAATCATGCTTATCAGTCTAAGTAATCATTTCTCAAGTCCGTAAGTTACATTTTAAAAAATTTGGTTTTGCAAGGAATAATCCCCAAAAGGTTTTCCAAAATTCTTTGGGCAGATGTGTCAGTCTTGTAGCTGATTCGTAATTTTCGCACCAGTTAAAAAGTGCACTACAAACATGTTAACGTTGACAACTTTTCAAAGTCTGTAATGGGTCAAAACCAACAATGGCAGTGCATATAAATGAAGGCACAAAGTGTCTCGTACATTGAAAATTGCCTGAATTTTATTCAAAAACATTTTTTTTAAACATTATGGAATCAAATTAAGACAATCGAACCTCTACTGAAGGTGGCGTCAATGGTGCAACATCTGAATCCTCATCGTCCTTGACCACGACGACGGCGTTAGGACTCGACGCTCCCGCTGCAGAGTGTGGCCTGCCATCGTCGTCCGTGTTCCCTGAGGTGTTGTGGGCCGAGGTGGATGCTGCTGCAGTGGTGGCAGCGGTGGCAGCGTTAGGGGTCTTGGATCGGTCAGGGTCCTCCTCCTCATCGTCCGACGGATCCATCAACTCCATGAGCTGCTTGAACTACGGGGTGAAAAGAAGAAGAATAATGCGTATTTTATAAAGCCCATGTATCCACCAGTATTGGTGCTCAAGGCGCTACATCATTATTACCCTGCTCATTGGGCCAATGAAACATTCCAAAGACAATTTCAGCTCCGCTGCACTTCGGCGCAGCTAAAATCAACCACAATAACCATCTCTGCCCTTACAGGTACCCATATACTCCTGGGTGGGGGAGGCAGTGAGTGACAAAGTGCCTTTCCCAAGGGCACATGCACCACAACCCCAGGCTGGACTCGAACCCACGACCTGCAGAAGCAAGAGTTCTATGCTCCAGACCACGGCACTCCAAAAGAAAGCTAAGAGCTTAGCACCGATAACTTTTGCTAAGCTGAATCGGTAACCATGTAAAACTGCTTGTGGGTTCAATTGCTTGTGTCGCTGGTACTCGGCCGGTTCTCGCTCAGCAAATACTTACAACGAGCAATGTTTGAAATTTAGCGCTTGGTGATCCAGTTAGGTATAGCTCATAGCAGAATATAATTGTTAAAATGAGAAAATCCCATTTTAACTATTTGGCCTATTCCACGCAAAAGTGGACACGGCTGAAAATTTGAAAATTTATGAAACCCTTACAACTACAAGCATGACAACCTCAAATGTGGTATAAACAGGGGTATGAGTGACCACTGATAACAATAGCTGAAATCAGCTTAAAAAGGTGTAAAAAAGCTGAACTTTGGAAATCTCCTATACTTTTGTACACAGCAAGTGAGGGAAAAAGCTGAAAAAAGCTGAAATCCAAAAAAAAAAAAAAAAAGCTGAAATCAGCTTTAAAGCTGAGATTTCACACCCCTTTATAATAAAGGGGGTGCCAGTGTGATGGAAACTGGTCAGATCTTGGGTAGTCATTTTGGCATCTTGTTTTTTAACCAAAAAAATGACCGAACTGAAAAAAAAAACCTCTTGACACTTACATCAAGGTACTCCGCTACAATGTCCCTCTTATCGCGTTCGGTGAGTGGTGTCTTAGGCTGTCCTACACATAACAGCTCCAGGGCCCTGGCGGGGTTGAACGTTACACTGCTCTTGCGGTTGAGCGACTTGTCGTTGACTTTGGACGCGTCGGTAGGGGAGTAGCGATGGATTGTGCTGAAGGATATAAACAGGAGAGATTAAACATTAATTAGTTGGGAAAATCATAGCAAAGACTTACATGAGTCAATATTTGAGATTCATGTACACTATGTACAAATATGTGACCTGTTCTGTCAAAATCAGACTCTTCTGGGCATAAGGTCAAAAATGAGATTTTTGCATATTGTTAACATATGTTCTTTTTCCTTTTAATAGGTGGTTTAATTTTTGAAACCGGTCATTCCTGGGCAGAGTTATGCTATTTTGAAGTTTATTGTGTTGAAAAGTAGAAAACTGAGAAAATGGCCACGAACGTCACAAAACAGTAATATCTTGAACTGATACGCCTTAACAAATCATCAAAAATACTATATTTAGAGCTCAAATTAGGGTTTCAAACGTTTATTGTATATTTTAGACATGTTCAGGATTACAAAATTGCAAAAATTTGAAAATCGAAAAAAATCACTCCCCCAGTGTTTTTTGGCCTTATCTTCATTTCAACCTCTGCCCAGAAGCGTCTGCTTTTGACAGAACAGGTCACATATAAAGTATTACATATTTTGTAAAGATCTTGCAATGTGTTGGAATTTCTGGTGGGGTTGTAATGTTATAAGTACTATATGTCCTAGAGATCTCAAGTTGCAGTGCCAAGTATAAAAGTACCTGATGATATTTATTTAACACAAAAATATACTAACATTTCTGTCTACGATTTAGGGATTTGAATTACATTGCATTTGTTTGGACTTTACGGAGTAAATCTTACAAATTAAATCTGTATTACTGTTGTGCTGGGTTATCTTCAGAACAAAATATGTGATTGCCAACTCGTATTGTTTGCAAGTGAATGAAATTGTTGCCGACTGTTCCCTTACCTATCCCTGAAGCCGTACATATCCTTGAGATGTTGCTTGAGAACCAGCAGCATGATGCAGGCTTGCGACGCCACACAGCACTCCAGTAGCGTACTGGGATCCTCTGGTATCAATCCTGAATGATATATTACAAAACAAAAAAGGTAGAAAATATTATTGGGCGATATAATACATTTTAAAAACATCAAAATTCTTGTATACTTGTTTCAGGTGACGAAAAAAACAACAATTTTCTGAAAGAAGACATAAGATACTATTGCTTGAAGTCTGAAAAAAAAAAAAAATTTAACCATACCCAGGCGCGGTTCTAGAACCAATATTTTGGGGGGGCTAGCACGGTGGATCCAGAATTTTTTTCAGGGAGGCGTGCTGAAATGTAGACCGGTTATTTTTTCCAGACACTTGGGCCTCCGAAAGTCAATAGGCTCATGCCATATTTTCAATGGGGAGCGCCAATAAAATCCTAAAATCATTCACACTATATTAACTAATGCACCGTTGTCACGACTATTTCTTTAGGGGGAGACCGTTCGCATGTACATCACAATCCTTCTTTTTGCTAATGCAATTTTTTTTTTTACGGAATTTATTTTGGGGGGGCTAGACAAAATTTCGGGGGGGCTACAGCCCCCCCCCCAGCCCCCCCGTAGAACCGCGCCTGACCATACCCTATGTATCTCTAGCTGAAATGAAGCGTTCCTCTGTTATTGTGCACATAGGGAAATGTTCTCATTTGAGAGCATCTCGTGTTCCTCCTGTTCCCAATTTATATTCCACATTGAAACAAGTCTTCCCAGAGCACTGTTGCTGTCATTCACGCGCATGTTCAAATTGATGCTCTCAAATACTCTAAATGTTCACAGCCGAGTCACTCACCCATGAGGACCTCTTCATCTTCGTCGTCGTCATCGCTGAAGTCGTCGTTTCTCCTGGCGTCCACACTCCCTCTGGATGAGCGTGAGCCTGGTCTTGAAGGCTGCTTCTTCATGAACGACTGCCGGAAGAAACAAGAAATACACAGTCGGTGGTTATAGATTACCACCTGAGTGGGGAGTCAGGTTGGCGTAGCGGTACTTTCCTCGCCTTCCAACGCTGTGACCCGGGTTCGAATCCCGCCTGGGCCAACATGTGGATTGTGTTTTCAGTCCCTACCTGATTCCGTGGGTTTTTCCCAGAATATTCTTCTGGGCTTTTCCTCCCACCTCTAAAACTGTAATTTCTTCTCATTGTGTTCTCTCCACAGGTTTCTTCAGGCTTGCGAGCTACAGTGCCTAGGGCGCTTTTGAGGAATCCTTGGTTTCATTACCAGAAATGATTAATAATAATAATACTTACAAAAAGAAGAAGTTATTATCACAGAGGAAAGGTGAAAACATAAATAGGAAGTGATGATTATGAGCAACAGAGATAATGTTGACTGCTGAATTGACCAATACAGGCAGAAGGGGGGGGGGACTGAAAGTATGTGATAATTCCAACACTTCTGAAGCAGTTATGCGAGAATTATGAAGGAAAAATCTGATCAACACAAGACCGTAACAATTGTTCTCCCAGATGCCTTTGTAAGAAAAATCTACTGCCGAACAGTACAACATGAATTATTTGGGATAATAGACAATCGTAGCCCAAAATGTATTATAGACCTTTTTTATGTCTGTATATATTAAGCGCATTATTTTGTATGGGCCGCCAAAACGGCACAAATTTAAGCCTGCATATGAACACCCTTATTATGTAAGAAAGAGGCATATTTATTAAGTCTATGGAAGCATTTGTTGGTTATTTTAGATTTTTAACAATCCAATGATAAGTTTGGACACGTTAATAAATATTGTTTATTTTTGCAACGCTGGCCTTCCATAGTTTGCAAAGTCGTGGTTGGCAAAGAAACGTCTATCGGGAAAATCATGACAACCGGATGCTAATGAACAGACAACGCTTCAAATGGGATATTACATGAATTGGACCTGGTTGAGAACAATTTAAACTCCCCTTCCCTTAAACTACTTCCCCAACCCCTGAACCACCACCCTCCAAAACAATTACATGTTCAAGCTACAGAGAATCCTGCGTTAAGAAGCAGACATCATATCTAATCCACAAATTAAAAAAAAATCTGTTTGGGTCAAACTGACTTACATCTTTGAATGACTGGAGTAGGTTGGCTCCAGAGACAGACACCGTTATCTCGATGTGATGCATGACAAAGAGGGGCTCGTCTTGGGTGACGTAGGGAAAGTAGGCAAGGTTGTCGGCTACAAAGACTAACAGATCCAAGTCTGTCTTCTGAAATGTCAACAAATAATATTCACAAATTAATAGCAATCATTCATACACACTTTCATCTACCGTTCAAGTACATTATTATTAGTTCATAATTCATATTTGAATATTCAATCAAATTCAAGTCCCAATAATCAAATACTAAATTATTCAAAAATACACAGCACTAGTTTCATGGATTCGTCAGAGAATAAAAAAAAAAACAATGAAAAATGATGCAATACAGTGCTACATGTATGTTAACAACCAGCGAGAGTTTCTCACACCTGATCGGTTTTAATGGTACATGCATTCTAACCAAAAAAACACACAGCAGCCTTAACCCCATGCGTACGGGAAGCGGTCATGGCCGCGGCCGCTAATCCTCATTGGAATGCAGTTGCCAGCTGTGGTATGCCGTGGCACACGGCTAGTGGGTAGTTCCACAGCTGCTGCTTTTGTGCAGTCCCGCTACCACACAAAGGCTGTGCAGTCATGCGGGCCACTTGCTCTATGTGTGGAGGAATGTCCCCATTACACCCTGTCCTTAAGGGGTTAACTATCCACAGTCACTGTCATTAACAACATAAGATCATATATCTATTGGTCTATAATTAATGGCCAGTTTTCACAAAGAAACAACTAAAGGCACCAGGGGCCAATTTCATAGAGCTGCTTAAGCACAAAATTTGCTTAAGCACAAAAACGTCTTGCTTAATAAAATCAGGTTACCGGCCAAAACTCCATGCGATTGTTATGCTATTAGTAAACAACAGCTAAATACCAGTCACAAGCAATGTACATCACATGGAGTTTTGGCCGGTAACCTAATTTTACTAAGCAATGTTTTTTTGTGCTTAAGCAAATTTTCTGCTTAAGCAGCTCTATGAAATTGGGACCAGTGGGGCAACCTTGTTTTGCACGAGTACACTAAACTGGACTGTTAAGCCTCAAGATGCCAATTAGTGCTTAACATTTTAAACATGACACAACTCCACATGACAAGACTGATTGCGATGGAGCTGACAGTGTGTACTGGCTGACACCAAGCATCATGTGCATAAGATATTGACAAACTTGGCCTACTCACAGCTTGTTCATCAAATAGGTTGAGGAGACAGAGCAACAGCGCCCTCCGGTGTTGGCGATGACCCCTGATGATACTGTAGGTGTGGTTGTTGAGGCTGTAGTAGCTGTCCTTCTCTCTCATGCCACGCAGGGGCGTCAACTGGCCCTCCTGGAGAAGCCTCTGCAGACGGAAGGCCATCTTGATACCGGCCAGGGCTTTCATCTGAAAACAGGAAAGGATTGGGCATCAAGTACAGTTACTTTCCCTTCTACATGTGAACTTTTTCTGGGGAGTGCGAGAGTGTTTATTTTAGTTTTTATTATTTTCGTGTTTTTGACAACTGTTACTGGTCACTTTTTTTCTCTTCACTTATGAGTTCTTATAAATTAGCTGACATTTGGTGCAGGTTGTTTTATAGACCATGACTGAAATTAATTTAATATGAACTAAAATATTTAAAAAATCAGAGTTTTTATGATACGTTCAAATCTGTGAAATCCTGCTGACTGGTACAAAAAGACACTTTACAACTGGCCGTAGGGTGAATTACATTTAATTACTGAAAACACAGAACCTTTCATTTTAATGATAATAATTACCCACATTTATAGAGTACTTTTACCAATCACACTTAGTTTTTCCTTCAACTATTCTATTAAAGAAGCCTTGCGCTTTCAAGAACCACCCATATACTTTCAGAGTTATAGTTGAGACACAAATGGCGAGTGACACACATTCTGTACTTTTCTCACAGTAACCTTGGCAGTAACCATTAAAGGCCACCTTTTTATGTGAGGCATTCTGGCAAAATGAGACGGAACTGGGCACAGGTCGTAGTGGAGAAAAAGATTTTTTTATGATTTTCAGATTTATTGATATTTGTAGCCTTTGATATGCCTACTACACATGTTTTAAAGAAAAAAAAGTATAAAAATCGTGGAATACAAGTGTTTCAAAAAACGCTTGGTATCTTTCATTTTCACCAATAGAAAACTTGAAAGGCCTTTTTCTCAGTATTTTGCTTTTTTGACATTGAAAATTGAACTTTAAACAGCCATAACTTGTCAACGGAATGTCCGATTGAATTGCAACAAACAGTATTGCAAGGAGAATTTTTATTCTCTTTTCTAATACCTGCAAATCTTCATTTCCACCTCTGCCCACTTCCGTCTCATTTTGCCAGAATGCCTCACATAAAACAAAACTCCTACTGTAACTAACCTGAATGAATCCAGGATATCTGCTGTCGATGTCCGATAGTTGCTGGTCAGCTTTTATCCTGATAGTAGCTTCTGGGTCACTGCCCATGGCAATCAGGTATGGTACACACTGAGGATTTAAAAACGGAGGATTACTAACTTCAAACTCTGTAATATATCATATTACACTGAAAATGCCTCAAACCTATGCTCTGTACATCATCCTTGGCTCCCGATTTTTTTCGTACAAAACGTATTGAAAACTGCTGCTGAAAATGTCAATAGAAGGGAAACGCCAACCATTGCTGTTGGTAGTCAACTCAAAATCTGTATAATTACATGATTCAATAGTCGGCACGTGTTCGAAGTCGTCTTTCAGTAACTACCAGGGCGTGCAGGGTGAACTTTTGAAGGGTACTATTTATTGAAAAGTGAGTACCGGAGCACCGGCAGCTTTAAATGGGTAAACCGAATGATCGCTATTATGAATAATTTCTGTGGATCCTGAAAAGTTCGTTTGGTGGTGTTCCACTGTATTTGTCTTCAAAGTTAATAGTAATTTTTTTTAGGCATATGAAGTACCTAAAGACAATTTTGTCCTACCTGTACGGGGTGTACTAGACCCTGTTTCAATGTGGCTATGACGACTTGTAATGCTGACAGGCGTACTAAGGATTGCGTATGCATCATGGCCTCCATGACTTGCTTCAGATATAGCTGCATTATGGAACTACTCATCCTGTCGAGAGAAAATCAAACCACATTGAAAAATTACATAGCTCGCTACAAAAAAGTGCTGAAATTTGTAAATTGAAAGTACAGATTGAGGCCCATTTGTCAAGGGGTCCGAGCTTAACCCTAACCCCCTAGGCCCTTGTTGCTTACAACCATCCTCAATCCTCCAAAATCCTCCAAAATTTTGCAACTCCGCCTAAATTTTTCAAAATTGTCAGACAGTCCTGCCTCAAAATGCATTCATCCTCAATCCTCCAAATTCATCCTCATCCCAAAATTTTGCACTCGTGTTTAAATGAAGGATAACCAACACCAAATCCTTCAAAATCATCAGACAGTCCTGCCTCAAAATGCATTCATCCTCAATCCTCCAAAATCCTCTTGTGCTTCAATCACCATTCATCCTCAATCCTCCAAAATCCTCATGTGCTTCAATCACCATTCATCCTCAATCCTCCAGAATCCTCATTTGATTCAATCACCATTCATCCTCAATCCTCTAGAATCCTCCAAAACCGCCAGGAGGATTTTGGAGGAGTGAGGTGGGTTAGGGTTAATGGATTGGCGAATTAACCAGTTCGTGCCATACAAATACTGATTCGCAAGAGTCATAACAGCATCTGTACAGTATCTGTATCAGTATCCGAAACCTCATATTTTTCAACATTCCGGGGTGTGCTCACGGAGCGTAAATTGTAGAACAGGCCGTGCACAACGGCCAATTCAAGATCAACACACGGCCCGCCTCCACAGACATCACAGACTTTGTGTGTGTGTACAAAAGACATGAGGGATTAGCGTGTTTAGACATCACCCGGAGGCGAGTCGAGCCAATCTTGATGTCTTAACCCATCAGCCGTGCCTGTGTATAAAAACAGCCAGTGCGTGTTAACACGGCCTCTGATGCAAACTGGATAAAACACTGTGACAGCAACTTACCCTGACTGTATGTCACCCATTTCCTTCAAGTCTTCCTTGTTACCGAGCTTGTTCCCTGCAAAAACACAACAACAAATGGTTAATAACGTCTGGAGAAAGAATTGACAATCCTCTGCTTAATCCACATTTTCAATCTTCATTTTTTTTTTTTTTTTTACTCGCAAGTCATTATTTTTTTAGCCAGACTTACATTCAGCATCAGCTCTTCTCATCCTTTCATCTTCCTCGGTCAAGTAGAGCTGGAGATTCCGCAATACCTGAAAATAAACACATCCAAGGGTTGAATTGTGGTAAAGCATCTTGCCCAAGAACACAACACCATGATCCCTGTCAGGGTTCAAACCCACTACCAATCGTACACAGTAACTATTGGAACACAATGCTAAACTTGTACTATCTGCACATCAAACTTGTACTTGTTCTTGGTTACAATGTCTGTGCTTGCCCTCATGACAATAAACGCTCCACCAAATCAGCGTCCCGTATCTACCGACCTGACAGAGAAGTTTGATGGAGGAATCGCCGTACATCATGATGTCCCAGTAGAGCGTCTTCATCTTGGTGCCCAGTAGGAAGTTGGCGTGACGATTGCACAGGAAGCCGGCCCCGCTGATGGCCTTCATGCGGACCTCCTCATCCTCGTGATGACAGAAGTAGAAGAGGACGTCAAAGACGCGTTCCCTGATTGGCACCTGGGGATTATAAGATAATGCTTCCTTGATGTCAATTCTATTAAATTGTTTTTACTTCTCCTTTTTTATTTTCTACTTGTTTGTCAGACTGTGCCCTCGATTCAAGCTATTTTGCCACAAACTTGCAGGCTGGATAAAGCTACCCTTCAGATTTCCCCAAAATACAAATTATAGGTAATATACAACATCTGCTTTTTAGTGCTGTCATTTTTCAGAAATGGATGCATTTGGGGGTTAGTATTTTACAGCGAATATTGTTACAATGACCCGTTTTAAGTTTTGTGTTCATAGATGCTGGAAAAACCAAGAAAAAAATGCTGTTCTTGTAGTCTGGTTTCCCGACCCAACTTCAGACAAAACGGTGCACTTTATAGATGTCAGGGAATTGTCAGGTCAGGCAACCAGACTAGCTGGCTTGCACTCTTTCAAGGACGTGTAACCAATTGCAAACATAATGTGGACTAACTAAATTTGGTAAATTGGGGGCAGTAATTGACCCCAAAAAAATTAGTTTTTCCAACGACAGTCGGCTAACCATCGTTGCAAGTTTATACCAAAATTCCACCTTTCTTGAAAATGTCAGCACACCAGGTGCCATAATTTCACAGGATGCTTGAGACTTATATTCACCTACAGTCAAGTAAGGTATTTCATGATAATTTGGTAGTTTTTCATGTTTGCAAATGTTGTATATCACAAAATACCAAGATCACTCACTCTGCAGACAGTTCTCATGTTAGAAAAATGTGTCTGCAGCAACATTTGACGGGAAAGATATTGGTTATGAAAGAATTGTTATGGTGGAAATTATTACACTTTACGTTTTAGAAAGATTTTGAACAGTTCCTGAGTTTATACTTTACAAAAAGGCGGATGACAAAATTATTCCCGGAATTACTAAATTAATTATTGAGTGAACTGAAAGAATAATTAGGAGTCAGTAATATAGATTGCAGATCAACACAAAACAGCTCAAGTTAGTAAACTTACTAGCAGCCCAAAATAAAAAACAAGTACTTTTATTGCATAAGATTATCAGAACAGCTAAAGACGAATCGAGTGTGAAAATTAGGAATACTTCTTGTTTTTGACTCTTTACATGAACAATAATTATTTGTTTCCAAGGCCTTTGAGAGGAATACAAAACCATCATCTGCAACATAAATTCAACTCTCGCCTCTCAGTTCGTCAGAGAGTGACACTGTTTTATCATCATAATGTCTTCAGGACGTAACTTTGTGTTTAATTTTGAAAACTTTGGCAAATCTTTTAAATACTGTTTAACGTTATTCCATCACATTAAAAAGGCCGACACCTGCCAGTTTTGTCTGCAGACCAGTATGATTAAGGTGAAAAATCAACAATGATTACATAATAAATAGTGGGCAGTCATTGAATGAGTGAAAACTTAAAGGGAATGTACATCATTGGCTTTTGCTGTAATTTTCATAAATGAACTATTTGAGGGGTTAGTATAATATATCAAATATTGTTACACTGACATGTTTGAAGTTTTTTGTTCGAAAATGCTGGAAAAACCAAGACAAACAAAAATGTTCAAGTAGTCTGGTTCCTTGACTCCACTAAAGATAAAATGGATCAATTTATAGATGTCTGAAAATTGTAAGGTAAGGGAACCAGTCTAGCTGGCCTGCGCCCGTTCATGAACATGTAACCAATAGCAAACCAAATTTGGACTGAAACAAGGGTAAAGTGGGAGTAGTAGTTGAAAAATAGTTAGGTTTTCCAACGGTGGTCGGCCGACCACCGTTGGAAATGTGTACAAAAATATCATTTTCTTGAAAATGACTTCACACCAGGTGCCATAATTTTATAGGATTCTTTAGACTGTTATTTACCAACATCCTAGTAAGGTATTTCGTAAAACTTGGTAGCTTTATTTTTCGATGTTTGCAAATGTTGTATTTTCCCTTTAAATATGTAAACGTCACATCCTTGATATGTCGTCCTCATTTCTCCAAGATGTCACTTCAAGATGATATGAATGACAAAGGGTAACTGTAGATACATGATTAGGAGGGTGCTTTACAGTGAATGTGAGAATGGAATTACTTTAAATGAGGTGAGACGGTGCTGCATTAATCACGATATTCACAATGGAACGTTCCTGCCTGCTAATCAAACTGTTCACCAATCAGATCACGACGTTTTGGTCATGTGACCATGGTAGCTGGGTCTAAGTCAGTCACAAGCACTGTGAGTAGTGCCCACAGACTGAAGAAGGGCACGGCTTAAGGCAGTCTTGGCCCAAGACTTCAGTGATTGATAGCGATGGTTGCATTTTTTTGCACAACTGTTTTTTTTTTTTACTTTCTCGCACAAACCTCTTGGGAATCTTGCAGCAGTGGGGCGTGGCCGTTTTATGTAAATTAGAACATTGGTGTGAATATTAACATCTTCGAGCAAATCAGCCGCTTCCCATTAGATACTGGTAGACAGGCGCACTGGGGTATCACTTCGTTGCATATCTAATTAGCAATGCTTGACCACCACACTATACAGTTGAATTTCCGCAGGTACTGTGTATGTTTATCAACTGTCGCGCAAAGACTATAAACTTCACAAAAAAAGCCAGGCATTCAGCACCAAACGTTCATTATTGCATGCGCGACCAACTATACATCATTTCAAGATCGCTGATTGGTTCCCTAGGAAAACCTAGGGAGAAAATAATGAAAAATTAAACGGCTACTACAGGATTCCCAAGACTTTAGTGTGCGCAGGCGCGCTGGACTAATCATGCCAATAGATGGCGCAGTACTGCCACTTGAACGTGAAACAATATGCACAATCCACTATCGATCACTACCGTCTTGGGCTAAGACTAGCTTATGGCCAAATACAGAACAATCCATTCACGGTTCCCCCCCCCCCTTCAGTATTAGAACCACTATGGAAATCTTCAATCGAAACAAAATTAGTTTTATTTTTTTAAAAGTTTTCAAGGTTTGCTGTGCCATGGATGAGAAGGTGAATGAACTTCGGAGATTAAGAAAAAGATTAAATCACACAAAGTGAGAAAAAAAAAACCTTACAGATTCGACCTGGTTTGTCAGGCTTTGTGAAGCAGTCAGAGTAATAACTGGCATACAAGCTACCATATTTGGCGTGGGATTTGAGGCCGTTTGCAGCAATTTACTGGTTTGCTGCTGAATGTAAAAAAAAAAACAGAAGTATTGGGAAAATTGAATAAGCTTTATTGTTTAAATTTTGCAAGTATGCAAATTTTGTTCAATATTGAAGGGTACGTGACAATCAGAAGTTTCACTTCGTAAGAGAGAAACCATAAATAAATTTCTTCCTCCAAGTATTTTTTTACAGCAAATTAATCAATCTGTATTTTTGCACAATTCATTGGAAATCAGTGCAGATTTCTTAACCCTATCCCTACTCAATCTTCCAAAACCAACCAGGTGGTTTTGGAGGATTTTGGAGGATTGAGGCTGCATGCCATCTTTGTGCCAGATGATTTTGCAGGATGCATTGTGTCAAGGTCTTAAGCTGCACCTTGTGTTGTTTATGCTTTTTAGCCGTGCCTAAATTATGTCTAGATTATACTAGATATCATCTGCTCTGCTTCTGGATATCATCGGCATTTCCTCATTGTATTACAATGATTTTGAAGGATTGAGGCAGTGGTCACCCCTACACTGAACAAATGCCAGAAATAAAGGATGAGTTTGGAGGATTGAGGCTGTATCAATTGTTTACATAGTCCGAATTGGGAGGATTTTGAAGGATTGAGGATGGTTTCTTGCCAAAAATGCCAAGGCAGTTTTAATCTAAATCGTAATTTCTACAGATCAAGGTGTTTACGTAAACATTTTTGAAAATATTTATTTTGGTATAACACAATTCAATCGGCTGTGTTACACCTGATAATGTAGTAACCAACGGAAAACGTATATGTATCACCACCGATAATGTCACACAAATTGCCCGATATTGTATCACTAACTGATAATGTAACAAAAATGTACTGATAGTGTAGTACATTTTACTACACTATAGGTCAATTGTTGTTACATTATCGGTTTGTGATACAGTATCGGTCAATTCTATTTGACATTATCGGTTGGTGATACGTTATCCGTTGGTTACTACATTATCAGTTGTAACACTGCTGTTCCCCTTCAGAAAATGCTTTTCACAGAAAAAAAAGGTAAAGATGATTTTACAGACACAGGTATAACTTTCACTCTTTATCTACTCGACAGTGAATGAATCCACACATGAATGATAGATATGTGACGGCGTAACACTTCTTTTCTGTTTCTCTTGATAGTCAAAAACACATCAACACACTGAAGGGAGAGAAAGTCGGTTCACGCAAAGAACAGGAAAAAGAAGGGTTAATGATCGTCCAGAGGAAACTGAAATTTTGTTTGTGGCATAAATGTGGAGGAGGATACATACCGCGTTATTAGGGACAGTGTGTGGAGTTTCGCCTGTCGACTGAGGACAAAAATCACATTGGGATCAATACACTTTCAAATTGCACAGGGGAAGCCCAAGCGTTGTTAACATAAGGCCAAGCAAAAAGAAATACAGTTTTCTTGCACGGCATTAATTTTTTCCTTCCAATTTGTGTTTTTTCTATTTGTATTATTTTCTGACGGCCAGCGTTGTGTTTTTTAAGTTAACAAATGAAACACACTGAGAAGCTTTGACAAGTATTTAGGTTTTTTTTAGCAAATTTAGGACAGAAATCATGTATGAAAGAAACGAAGGTGTCACACAATATTCAACGGTGACTTTCCTCAGATGAAATAACTGTTAATGCAATAGTTCATTAACCCTAACCTTACAAAATCCATACCTCCATTTTTTGGGGATTTTTCAAAATCCACCAGTGACATTGGTGGATTTCAACAGATTTGGCCCTGAAGCATTATGTGAAGCAGGGTCAGTGATGGATTTTGACGGACTTGGTCCTCCACTTAGTAAATGTATGTAGGGGGGTAGGGTTAATTTTACCAATGACATATCACGACAGCCAGCCAAGTTAAGGGAAAATGTGAAATTAAATAGTCGGTAACTTGAGGTTTACCGCAAGGTTTTATAAGGTTTCACAGGGTACCTTGGGATTCAACCTCGACTTACCGCTCATTTAATTTTGCATTCTTCCCTAAGAGCGTCTACTTCTAGAGTGGTCCCTCGCCCTCATTTCAAGGTTTGCAAGTCTACAGGGACTGGGAACCGACTTTTACCCTTTCAGTTAGGCTACACAGCCCCCATTGCACACAGAGCCAAGCCAGACTATCGATAGCTCAGAAAGTCAAGATGCTTTCAGAAATGAGAAATGATGTATTTTTTTCACTTGGCCTTATGAAGCCAAAGGACATGATGCATAGCTACAGAAGCAGCAAGCTTGCCTTCCACCTACTCAGACCAACAATTCTAGGAGAAGTGAAATTGCAGAATAAGAATACAAGAGTAAACATTGGGAAAGATGCTGCTATTACTAAGAGAAAGAGCTGTATAGAAACCAAGTGCTTAATTGGGAGACTAAAGCCGCTATCATTATGAAGCTTCCTGAGTGTTAGTATCTTGACTCACCACATGTTGATTCCTGGGTGTTCTTGGACTGTCACCAGTCTGTTTGAGAAGAAAAGACAAAAAAACTTTTAGTAGGTGTTTATATTATAAGATGGAATTTTTTTTTTAGTTTTATAAGGTGACTAAAAATGACTAAAAACCGGATATACAAGTGGATTGACATTTTTGCCTAAAATTTGAGGTTAAAAGTAAAGTATACAGACATCTATGAGGCCAATATGTTATTTACAATTTGATAAAAGCTTGAAATAAGGATTAAGGCTGCCCCCAGGTCAACCTTGGGATGACACAGACCAGTCATCGACTGACTTTTCAGGATCAAGCTGTGAGTTCTTGTTTAACCCTAACCCTGCCAGACACAGCACAGTGCATCAGGTGTCAAAATCTGTTGGACCTTGCTGCATTGAGCCATCAACAACAGTGCATAAACGGCCAATTTTGAGACAATGAGCGCTAGTCCCATTGAACAATGCCACAGTTGTATCCTGCTGCAGTTGGTCACCACAGACTCTGAAGCATTTTATCCTTGAGACTTTTGACCTGATGGATCTTGCTACACTGAGCAGACTTGTCATTTTGGCAGATGTTGCAAGTTTTTGCGTTCAGCAGGGTTTCTTAGCCACAAAGGAATAGGGATAATTCAGTCCTAAATAAAAAATAAATTCAGTCCTAAAATTTTAATAAATTAAGAGTTCCATTCAATAAAAATGGTTTTCCAACCCACCTTTGAGTGCTTGATGCCCGCATCAAAGTCAAAGTGTTTACAGAACAGTCCGACGGTGAAGAGCGCCCTCAAGAGTGTGTTCTTGTTCTTGGCCATGGTGGCGCTCTCCGGGTTGGACTCGTGTTCCGCTTTCAGCTTGGACAGCACCGCTGCGTGGGGAATTAAACAAAGATTGACTCAATAAAGCTCACTTAATGAAAAGTAAAACACCAGAAAATGGTAATATAAAGACACTGGCCCTTTACGGTAGCATGAGCAAGTAACAGATTATTAGAAATTCAGACAGAACCAAGCATGTGACTAAGAAGTTATAAAAAAGGGAAAATTCCAATAATTACAAGACTTTAAACAGTTTTTTAATTCTATTTTTAATGGCACTAGTGCGAAGTGGAAAAGAGGATATTAGCTGATGTGAGGAAAGCTGCATGTCTGAAGAACTGAAAAAAATTAGTATCTAGATTTCACCACTTAATGATCGGTAGCAATGACAAATTGTAAGTCTTTGTTTTCAAACATCAATCAACCTAATCTTTGTACCAACGACAAATTGTATATCTTTGTTTTCAAATACCAATCGACTTATTTTAATGAAAAGACTTAAAGAATGTTAATCAAATGCCGTTCCGTTTCTTCACTCTACGAGGTATTTATAATTTCTAGTCAGCGAGAAAAAATTGTCTGTTTTAACATTGTACATATTTCTGACCAAAGTAAAGTGGATACCACATCTCACATATTTTTAGAATATAGCAAAACGTAAACTCACCAAAGTATTTCTGGAAACAATCCCTGACCAGTTTGTAATTGTGGGTGACTTTGTTGACGATAGCACCAAGACAGCTGACACAGCTCTGTAATACCTGTTAAAAAAAAATATTCATTTATTAACCCTCCTATGGAAACGTGCATTGTCAGCCTTGTTATTACTTGGGTCAATATTGGTCAAGACCCCCCATTGGTTTGTACACAGTGTGCATTGCTAGAGTTCTATCAGCTCACCGTTTGGCCGTGTCTGATGATCAGTTTCATCATGTCTTCTTCCAGACTAGCCAGGAATATCTCGCTGGGATGATCCATGAGGGGGACGACGAGCTCCAGGATGCGGGCGACGTTGTGAATGACCAAGAAATCACCTTGCGTCTGCAGATATGTGAGAAATGTTTAACACTTATTACTGTCAATTCCTTCATAGCTTCATATTCTAAAGATGTAAGCATTAATCAATTGGTTATCGTCACAATTTAAAAAAAGAATCACCACATATTGCTGTCCATTTCTACAGAATCGTCTGATCCATCTCAAGAACAGTCAAGTGGGTTCTGCTCAAGAATTCAACGTTAAAATTGTTGGCTTACACTGCATCTTGTGCTGAGGTAGGGTTGGAACGTGGTGGCATGGGTCAGCATGAGCTCTGGTTTGACTTTACTGAAGAGATATAACGTCTGTAGACAGCTGACCAGGCGCTGACTGCTGGCTTTGCCTTCTGCCGAGGATTCTGGACAGAAAAAAAAGAGGAGAAAACAACATTTGAAGGTTTGCATGCTGATGATAGCAATAAGATCAAACTTTACGGTAGCACCATGTGACCAATTTCTTTTGTGAGTTTGTCAGGTTCTAACAAAAAACCAAGGGAAACTCAATATTTCTGGCAGATGCTCTGCCCGTCATCAGAAGCCTGAATAATAATAAATAAGAAAATGCATGAAATATAATAGAGACTGCTCAATCATTGACCGCGAGCAGCAACACTCAAAATAATGATTCCCACTTTGTCTGCTTGACTTTTCCTTTCTTTTCATAGTTTCGTTAAACGTCTCCAACTTAAACCAATTAAATAATGGAGCCCTATAGACGTCATGCCAGTGTTGTAGTAGAGTCCACCACAAGTCCATCACGAGTCCTTTCATTCATGCACAAACTAGTCACATCTGCATAAGAGACAAACGCATCTGAACATGGGCGGACATTGGCAATGGCACACAAAGCATCCTTCAATATCACCACTCTGTCATTTTTTACGATCAAGGAAGTACGATCCCACGAGCCCATCTTGGGGCACAGAGGTAAGCTACTGGCCACATGTTGTGTCCTTGGGCAAGCCACTTCACCCATACTTGCCTCTCTCCACCCAGGAGTATAAATGGGTACCGGCATTAGCCGGGGAGTAACCTGCGATGGACTGGCGTCCCATCCAGGGGGAGTAAAAATATTCTCTGTCTTTTCATGCCACGGAAACCAGAGACGAACGCCGGCCTAATGGGCCATATCCGCCCGTGACAGACCATATCTCTCCACCCAGGAGTATAAATGGGTACCGGTGTCACATGAAAATCTGACTCCTATGAAAATCGGACCCCTATATCCCTATTATTGGTTGATCCCTCGCACGTGACAGGTCACTCTCCCGAAACGATTCTAAAAATAGCGTAGTATCGTACTCACGCGTGCGCAGTACTACCAATGAGTCCACATTTCATGGAGTCGGATATTCACGCTACACCGGCATTAGCTGGGGAGTAACGTGCGATGGACTAGCATCCCATCCAGGGGGAGTAAAAATATTCTGCCTGATGGGCCATACTGGCTCATGACAGACTTGACTTTGCAATGTATAATTACCTGTTGATTGGAGTTCTAATCTGAGGACATGTTCCACCAGGCAGTCGGTGATCTGTAGGCAAGATTTCTGGACGGGTTTCTGTCGAGCATCTTCCTCTGCTTTCAACAACTGAAACAAGGCAATTAGTCGACGATTACTTCATCAATAACTCTAAATAGCATAGTTAGTAAATAGTTCTCCTGATTGGTTTAAATTAGGGAAGCACCCAGAGATATTCCGAAAAACCCACTAAAACAATGTAGAACCTTAAACGGAATATACAACATTTGCAAACATCGAGAAACAAAACTACCAAATGTTTACGAAATACCTTACTAGGATGTTGGCAAATGACAGTCTAAAGCATCCTGTAAAATTATGGCACCTGGTGTGAAGTCATTTTAAAGAAAAGTGCTATTTTGTGTAAATTTCCAACGGTGGTCGGCCGACCACCGTTGTTAAAACCTAACTATTTTTCAACTACTACTCAAAATTTACCATTTTATCAGTCCAAATTTTGTTTGCTATTGGTTACATGTTCATGAACGGGTGCAGGCCAGCTAGACTGTTACCCTTACTTTACAATTTTCCGGCATCTATAAATTGATCAATTTCATCTTAAGTGGAGTCAGGGAACAAGACTATTTGAAAATATTTGTTGTTCTTGGTTTTTCCAGCATTTTCGAACACAAAACGTCAAACTTGTCAGTGTAACAACATTTGATTTATTATACTAAACCCTCAAATATTCCATTTCTGAAAATTACAGCAAAAGCCAATCATGTACATTCCCTCTGAGTTACTGCCTGTTTGATTTCACATTCTCCCCAAAATGTTTTAGAGATTAAAAAAAAAAACAGAACATTTCAGTTCCTTTCAAATACTTTATTTTAAACTGCGTCAAGAACAAAGTGTTTCTAGAGAGGTTCCCACACAAGTATGCATAAGAAGGCAACCTTTTTTCCACAAGAATTCCCTGGTATTCCTGTTTTGGAAACAGTACCAATCCCAATTCAAACACGCAATATACTCAGTTGAACATTCCAAGACTTGTAAGTTCACAAATTTTACCTAAAAATTTTCTTAACCAGATTTGATTTTTCGTTTTCCGCTTACATTTGTCAGGAGTTGTTCCAACCAGTCGTAGCCGGATTCTTTACTGGCCGCGACCACTTCGATGACGTTGAGGGCTCTCTTCAGCAGTTTGTCGGTGTTGGCTGTCGGGAGCGGGGCAAACCACATCTGTTGGAATGTCTCGTTCACAAGTTTCTGCAAATAAAAAAACATTTTTAAAAAAACTTCACGATACACGATTTTGTAAACAGCACTCTTTATTTTAAAAAAATGAACTGACTGACGTTAGAAATCTCCTACACTTCTTCTTTTCTTCTTAACGACAGCAAGCCAGACGGAATAATTGCACGGGGTGTTTAGTACTAGTACGATCTTTGATCCAAGTAATTTTTCTGATGATAATTGGGTAGGTTACTTTTGGGATAAATACAAATTATCCTATATGCCTTTAACCCTAACAGAGCTCAACCCATCAGACCCCAACGACATGTTTTGTTGGAATCTGTCAGAATGGGTACAGTACCCCTAAACTGACAGTCTTTTACATTGGGTTGGCACACCTCCAGAAACAAAGTCAGAAATATGTGTGTGCAGTTTCCTATATGGTGTTGGAATTTGCCAGGATGGGTATGGTTCCTAGTAAATCATGCTAGGGAGTTAGGGTTAATCAATTTTCTTGTGCTTAGGTAAGCTGAGCTATACTGTTTGTGTCAGGATGTTAGTGTCATGCCTTACCTTAATGCCTTCTTCGTCGTTGACTCGTCTGATGATCTTGTTACATATCTCAGGCACCTTGGGGAAGTCTGCTTGCTCGATGCAGATGTCGCGTAGGGTTTTGATGACCCGCTTACGCACGCTGATACCAGTATCCTGCAAGGTAAAAACAACAGGCAATAAAATGAGGAATACCGCACAGAAAAAAAAAACCATTATCAGAAGGCAAAATGATTAACAAAACAGTAAAAGATTACTAAATAAAGAAGTAAAAGAGTACTATCAAGCATTAATCAATAACCAAGTCAAAGTACAAAGTCTAGGTAGAGTCAAGAACATTTTTTAACAACATTGGAAATGTTTCTCAGTCCCAGATTCATGTCTTATCATCATTTTTGCAATGACTGACCTTCATTGAGATGATTTATGAAGAAAAATGTGTCAGGTTGCAACATTTTTTCCATGTTTTTTTTTGGGGGGGGGGGGGGAGAGATCATTTTTTGAGATATTTTGGGATGGGGGGAAGACAGGTGTATTATTTAATTAGGAGATGTTTAAAAATCTTATAAACCTGTCAACTGACCCCTGGTAGATCATCAATCATGTTGTAAAGAATGGGTCACTTGGGCGTAATTTACATGAATGCACAGCGAAATCGACATGACAAACAATTTGTGACAATTTGTGGCAATTGTGCTCGAAATGGAAGATGGAAGAAATTTCCCCATAATGACACAAAATCACATCACACGACATTCCTCCCGAGTATGAACTGGCCCCATTAGCAAGCCTAGATTATATCCAATCAACTGCCTACAGTTCAGACCAGGGGCGCGTTATGGCGGTCCTAACCAAGAATTCTTTCTTGTCGGTGAATTCTTTGGTACTTTGAATTGGGTAAGAGTTACGCATGATGATGTAGTACTCAAATCCCCAAAACAATTAACCAAAGAGAAACAGCAGAACCAATTTTTGGTTGTGACCGACAAAATGCACCCCAGTATTTTCTTACCAGTATTCTCTCAATCAGCATGGTGTAGTAGCGATTGATGAGCTCCGGTTTCATCAGGACAAACTTGCCCACTAGCTCCACCGCCGCTTCCCTGACGCTGGTGGACTGGTCCATGAATCGACAGTGCACAGCACGTTGTACGTCAGCCTGCAGGCAAATCAACACGAATTAATTTACTTTGTATATCAGACCTCTCATTAAACTGTATGGAAAGTTACCACAAAGTAGGCAGGTGTGGGTAAAATCACTTTAAGTAAAGAGCAAGCAAGTTGACATTTACATGCTGCTATAATTTTACGGAGTGTATTGTCTGTGCTAAATTTATCTCACACCAACAATTTGTGCACAATTAAATGCCTTAATTGCAAGGAAAAAAATTAGCTATAACTTTCTAGCCGATATATGTCGGCTTATCGTCTCCAAGAGGTATGCACATTTTTGAGCCAATATATCAGTTTACCGTATAAAAAAATTTTATGTCCAAAGCTCACGTTAAAAAAAAGATGCATGGCTTTGCCAATGCCAGGGGTGTGAGTGACCACTGATAAAAATAGCTGAAAACAGCTGAAAAAGGTGTAAAAAAGCTGAACTTTGGAAATCTCCTATACTTTTGTACACAGCAAGTGAGGGATAAAGCTGAGGGATAAAGCTGAAAAAAAGCTAAAATCCAACACAAAAAAGGCTGAAATCAGCTTTAAAGCTGAGATTTCACACCCCTGCAATGCGTAACCAAAATCGCAAAACGAAAAGCATATTACCATACAGGATTGGAAAATTCTATTCAGGATTGTTTTCCCAAACTGACAACTGATAAAGTAGTTTCCAAAATACTTACTGTTTTGTCTTTTTTTGTTATTATTATCAGGCAAGCAACTGGGAACTTACAAAGAAAGAGGAAATTCAAATCTTTCCCAGACTTTGTACAGTGTTTTTCTATTTTCAATGGTACACATGGGAAGTCAAAAAAGAGGAAATCAGCTGATCCGAGGAAAAGTTGCATGCCTGTATTAATTAATTCATTATTTATTTTTTGCTCCCAGATTTTCCTGAAGGTATGAGCTGCCACTGTTAACTCACCCTTCCCAATACAGACGGGTCAGCTGCTACAACCGAGGACAGACACTTCATGGCTTTGGTCCTGACTGCTACGGCCGTCTCACTCAGTACTCGCAGGATCTGAGTCAAAGAAACAACAATAACTTCAAGTAAAAATACTGTGAATAAAATTCATTACAAATTTCTAACCCTATAAATTCTGCCACAGCTGTGCGTTGGTTCTCTCCTGTGCCACGTGGGTTTTTCTCCGGGCCCTCCGGTTTTCCTCCATCCGCAAAAATTAAACACTTTCAATCTCAGGCTGTGCTCCGTGGTCATATATGGGTCGATGTGGCCGGCAGCCATAGGCGCCTTTACGTGCCAGCGGCCCAACCACGTTGTAGCCGCGTCCTTCGCAATTCAGCATACCAGCTGCGAGTAAGGATGATTAGCCTCCCAAATTATTATTATTATTATTATTTTTATTATACAAAACACTTTCTGTTTAGATTCCAAAATGGTTGCCACAAATCTTGACTCTTGAACTTTTAACTATTTAAAATAGAACTTTTCTGCCAAAACGAAAATCGTTTTTCTCCCAAAACCCAAAAAAAAAAGGAAAAAAGTTCACACATACAGTTTTATCACATTTTCCGGGCACGAAACACTTTAATTATGAATTTTTAATTCCTTGTTCAAATCATGCCGTTACAACAACTGTCCACTCATTTGTAATTTTCCCGATCATGAAGAAATGGTGAGGAATTCCAAGAAATCAACAGGCAACGTTATTATTATTATTAATTATTTCTGGTAATGAAACCAAGGATTCCTCAAAAGTGCCCTAGGCACTATAGCTCGCAAGCGTGAAGGAACCTGTAAAGAGAAGACAATGAGAAGAAATTACAGTTTTAGAGGTGGGAGGAAAAGCCCAGAAGAATATTCTGGGAAAAACCCACGGAATCAGGCAGGGACTGAAAACCCAATCCACATATTGGCCCAGGGTGGATTCGAACCCATGTCACAGCGGTGGAAGGCGAGGAAAGAACTGCCCCGTCCAACAAGACTCCCCAACCAGACAAACCCATCTAAAAGATCTTAAGACACTTACCTGACTTAGGTAGATGTCAAAGCTCTGTGAGAAGGGTCTCTTTGAAGCTAGGTATCTTGCTACCAGGGACGAGCTTTCATACGTTAAGATGTGCCGTGACCTCCTAGAATTCAATCAAATGTCAGTAGATTTCAGATGAATTTCATATTCAAACACATTCTGTTTATTTCACTTTAATGCCAAATTACCACAGAATAAAACAAATCTCTTTTGTTAGATTCTGAAAAAAAAACCGGGAAAACAAAGATTCGAGCAGTATGCTCTGCCCGTCGTCAGGAGACTTGGGCCATCGTCAGTCTTCTAACGATGGACAGAGCATACTTTTAAAAATGTTGAGTTCTTTTCTGAATCTCAAAACTCACAGAAGAGATTTGACACATGGTGCTACCGTAAACTTAATCTTATAACTTCCTGCTGAAATGATATTTTAAGCATTTAACTACTGGGTTCGACTCGGTGATTCAAACAAAATATACCAGTGGGCTCCTCAATCAATAATACTGGGATTTTTTTTGTCACCCGGACAATGTAAATTTGTCTTACTTGAATGAGAGATTGGAGCGGGCGGCGACTTTGATGAAGGATTTCAGGAACAGCTTCCTCCTCTCAGCTGCTTGTAGGATCTCCGTGGTGGTGTCGACGGCGTTGTTCTCGCGGTCGCTGTCCTCGTCATCGTCGCTGTCGTCACGCTGGGGCGGCGGGGCCTTGATGGTCTGCTCCACTTCGGCCGTGGTGTCGCGGTACCACTGGGCTACTAGGAATTGCCTGGCAAACTGGGGAAGCAAACGTGGGCAGAAACAGAAATTAAAGGGAATGTACATCAATGGCTTATGTTTTAATTTTCAGAAACGAACTATTTGAGGGGTTAGTATAATAGATCAAATTATTGTTAAACTGATATGTTTGAAGTTTTGTTTTCGAAAATGCTGGAAAAACCAAGAAAAACAAAAATGTTCAAGTAGTCTGGCTCCCTGACTCCACTGAAGATGAAATGGATCAATTTACAGATGCCGGAAAATTGTACGCTAAGGGAACCAGTCTAGCTGACCTGCACCCATTTATGAACATAAAACCAATTAGCAAACAAAATTGGACTGAAAAAAAAATGGTAAATTTGGAGCAGTAGTGAAAAATAGTTAGGTTTTTCCTACGGTGGTCGGCCGACCACCGTTGGAAATGTAATCAAAAATACCATTTTCTTGAAAATGACTTCACACCAGGTGCCATAATTTTACAGGATGCTTTAGACTGTCATTTACCAACATCCTGTAAGGTATTTCGTAAAAACTTGGTCATTTTATTTTTCGATGTTTGCAAATGTTGTATTTTCCCTTTAATCCCAACCAGTTCAGGAAGTAACAGGCAGGGTGGTTGGTTTGGAATGACTTGGATAACAGTTTACCTTACAAGATTAGGAAATGGGAAAGCACAGATGAAGTTTTGGAAAATGGACATTTTCTTGTGAAACAAATATCATCATGTCATTCTAACTGTTATCCATGAATGTATTCCAGTTGTTTTGATTTTTTATATATTAACCCTAACCCTCCTCAATCCTCCAAAATCCTCATTGTGGTTTTGGAGGATTTTGGAGCATTGAGGCTGAATGGTATTTTTTTTAAATAAGGATTTTGGAGGATTGAGGCTGAATGGGTTTTTTTCTGAAAAGGATTTTGGAGGATTGAGGCTGAATGGTATTTTTTCAGAAAAGGATTTTGGAGGATTGAGGCTGAATGGTATTTTGAGGCAGGACTGTCTGACGATTTTGAAGGATTGAGGGGCTGGGTACCCTTCATTTGAACATTTTTGGATCAGGAGGATTTTGAAGGATTGAGGATGAATGCATTTTGAGGCAGGACTGTCTGAAAATTTTCTGAACATTTTGAAAAATAAAAAAAATGTGGAGGATTTTGGAGGATTGAGGATGGTTCCCAGCAAAAAGGGCTAGGAGGTTAAGGTTAATAAATTTAGTCCCAATTTAAAATGCCAACAAATTGTGGAACACAGTCTGAAATAAATAGCATCCCAGCCCCACAATCAGGGGAAAAATGTAAGATTCATGGAATCAGGCCAGTTTTTTTTGGATGGGACTGAAATCAGATTTAAGAATGACTTACCAGTATTGCAGGATCATTCTGGCTGTTGTATGACAAGTAGTCTAGCATGGCTTGCTGCAAGTTCTGAATATAATCCTTCTGATCGGAGTCTTTGGAATCCTTGTCATGTGGAGACTGGTCACCACGTGCTGCACTTGTCTGCGGGAAAGAGAGAGAGAGACAATAATTAATTCCTCTTCTTCTTCAACAAGCTAAATTCGGTTCAGCCAACACCGAACACATTTCTCTGCATCTTGATTGTACATTGCAAGGTCAGCAGCTGTGCAAAGATGTTGTAGAAGAGGGCATCTCAAAAGGTGCTCTATAGTTTGTGGCTCTACGCCACAATCACACATGGTATCATTGGAGGAACTTGTTGAGTGTCACCTTGGCTCTGCCAACTCCAGTTCTCAGTCAGTTGAGGCATTTCCACTTTGCCCAGCTTGCATCTGCACCGGGAGGTAGTTGTTCTCTAGCCATTGCTAGTTGCTCTCCATAATTAATTGATGGCTAGCATCAGGTGCTTTTCACTTTCATGTTATGTACTTTGGGCCGAAGGCTCTGTGTACAGTGGCTTCCTAGCCTCGTTATAAAAAAACAACCAGAGTGTTGAGTACATTTCAGTGTAAGTTTCGTTGAAGCATTAATGCTGTTTCATACTTCATGTAAAAACGAAGGAAAAGCAAGTTTTTTTAGTGTCATGAAACATCAACAGCAAAATTTGGGACAGTTAAAATATGTGTTCACTTTGCACAAATGTGCAGTGACAAAAGTCAAGTTTGCATTTGCATTCACCCCAAAACAGCAATATTTTTACTTGAATATACCATTTTTACCTGGTTAACGATAGTATCCAGAGTTCCTTGGTCCATATTACTGGACACAGCGTGCTTCCTCAGTCGACTGGCTATCTGACCCAAGTAATCTAATGACGAGACGCGCATGGTCATGTCATTGGAACGGTTGTTGAACTGATGCATCTGTTGATTAAAAACAAAACAATTCTCATGAAATGATCGGCAGAGGTCATCAAGAATTAAGTTTTATGACCTACACGAAGAAGTATGTATCACCAGATGACTTTTTCTTCACCGAGTTACTATTTTTATGATGGATTTTTTATATTTAAGTTAAGAAACCAACAAAAACAAAAGTTTGAACAAACTGTTGAAAGTTAAGTTTAGGGTCTTGTTTGGGTTTTTTTCCCCCAATTATGCACATGTTGTAACTTTTATCGAGTCAGAAATAGTTGCTCTATTTTCTTCAGATTAAGGGGAGAGTTTCGTGTCCGGCCACCACTTATTTGCCTCCAAACACAACAATTTTCACTTCACATCGTGTTTTCATTGGGGAAACTGAAAACATCTCAGGAAACATGTGTTTTTTGGGGCACATTTTCTGGGTGCGCACATTGTTCGGACAGACGATCATGTAGGCAGCCATATTGAAGAGTCTGGAAGTCAGCAGTGCGCATGACAACGCACTAACATATAACATGCGATACCTCATCATGAATATTTAATTTGTCACGAACATTTAATTTATTAAACATTTTTTAGTCTTAGTTCAAGGGGCACCTAAAATATCAAATGAACAAGCACTCGTAATTGAGCAGGTAAGACTGGTGTGTTGAATTTGAAAGTTTTCCCCCTCCAGGTTTCTCTCTAATTTTATTGACTTACCAGTAACCTTCCCAGCAGGCTCAGTAACAGCTCAGCCGCAGGCCACTCTGGTTTGTTGACAGCTGACAAGAGATCCTGGACAAAGTTCTCAAAGAGCGGCCGATAGTCCTCCTCATCACGACTGACGCACCTGTTTAAAGAGAAAATAGATCAGAACATTACTCCAAGAAATATGACCCAGATATTTCTCATTTTATTAACTACAAAGTGTTCACAGATTAACTTTGCGTTCACGTGATCTTCAACAAATTAGATTTTAGCTCTGCAGAAAGCCGTGGAAAATTGGGACTTAAGACTGTTTTTGTTTTAATCAAAGTGCCATCTTTACAGTCTTTAACTTTTACAGATAATCAATATATCGAATATTTTCAATATTGGATTTCCGATATATAAATTATTGAAAATTCTGATATCGAAGGTGCACATTGCAAGCTACAGTGCCTACGTTGCTTTTGGGGAGTCCTGGATTTCATTACCAGAAGTAACTAACAATATTAACAATTTCAGTGAGAACTAAACACTTTCAGGTTTCTTGGTCAAAGTATGTCATGATTTGTCTTTCTCAAAGGGCGGTTGTTTGGAAAACTTACTTCTTCAGGAAAACTGACAAGAAGTTCTGGCCTGTTCTGACAGCAGTCTCGTAGGCGTTGATTATCAAGACATCCTTGTCCGTCTGTAAAACACAAACACATATTTAATCAAAATTCAAATTGAGATGGAATTAAATCTAGAAAATTCTTTAGTTTTTGGATGGTTTACAACTATGGCTTCAGATTCTAACTGCAATATGCTGGAATTTTTAAAAATTGAACAAAGAAATTGCCTGGAGTGGGGTTTGAAACTCGGACCTCCGGATTGCCGTTACGGTGCTCTACCAACTGAGCTATCCAGCCCTATGTTGGCGGTTCCCATTTTTCTACAGTTCTGCAATATCCAGGAAGTGAAATTTGCAGCCTTTGCCAAAACTATTGAACTGAACAAAACCCACATCTGAGATAACAACAATTCAAGAAGAATTCAGCAAGAATTCAACGCCTCTGGCAGGCAAATGCTTAACCCTAACCCACCTCACTCCTCCAAAATCCTCCTGGCGGTTTTGGAGGATTCTAGAGGATTGAGGATGAATGGTGATTGAATCAAATGAGGATTCTGGAGGGTTGAGGATGAATGGTGATTGAAGCACATGAGGATTTTGGAGGATTGAGGATGAATGGTGATTGAAGCACAAGAGGATTTTGGAGGATTGAGGATGAATGCATTTTGAGGCAGGACTGTCTGATGATTTTGAAGGATTTGGCGTTGGTTATCCTTCATTTAAACACGAGTGCAAAATTTTGGGATGAGGAGGATTTAGGATGAATGCACTTTGAGGCAGGACTGTCTGACAATTTTGAAAAATTTAGGCGGAGTTGCAAAATTTTGGAGGATTGAGGATGGTTGTAAGCAACAAGGGCTAGGGGGTTAGGGTTAATGACTTGACAACATGAGACATGGTTGACACTCTACCTCTCTGGTCTTTTTTAGGGTGTCGTCGTCGTAATTGTACTCATCGTCTGAGTCCTCCTGGTCTCCTGCTGGGTCGTCTTTGTGTTGCGGCAGAACCACCACACACTGAATCAACTGCAGGACCAGCGCCGTCACCATTTGAACATTGGTGTCTTGGTTTAACCTGCGTGAAGATTAGAGGCATATAGCATTAATCAAATTAGGTTTTTGCCCTTCACCGACGTTTAAACACTGTGTACTCAGTGTGTTACCTCCAGAGTGAAAGTTGGAAAAAAAGGTGAAAGTTGAAGGGCAAAAACCTAATTTGATTGATATCACCCCGACGCAAAATTCCATCTTATCATATAGCATTACTTGCTTTGCATGCATTTTGTTCGTTTCCATTAATAACACCACTGAAAATCCAAAGAAGAATGTTCAACAGAGGTGTGAGCGACCACTGATAAAAATAACTGAAAACGGCTGAAAAAAAGATGTAAAAAAGTTGAACTTTGGAAATCTCCTATACTTTTGTACACAGCAATGGGGAAAAAGCTGAAAAAAAGCTGAAATCCAAAACAAAACAAAAGCGGAAATCAGCTTTAAAGCTGAGATTTCACACCCCTGGTTCAAACAAAAGCTGACCTGTTGAAGTTTCAGCTCAGTGGACATAACACTTTTTTGAAAAAATTATGAAAAACCATGCACAACCTTTTGATCACATTTTCTGTAAAGAGGTGCTATGTCAATCAATTTGTTTTTTCTTTTCATTTTAATCATATCAAACAAATACTACATATTATGGCTAGAAAAGTTGAGCGCATGAAATTTTGTTTTAAGACCTCAATGTCTTGACTCACCTGAAGTTTCTGAGGTTCTTCTTACTGGAAGGCAACCTGGCTAGGGATGCAAAGATGTCTTCCAAGATCAGCTGTCTATGCTTCTCGTACTTAGAAAACACCTGTAATAAAAAAATTGACAGGTTGAGAAGGGGAACACCGACATTTTCATTTAAACGCTCGTAAGATGTGGCAAGAGGGAAATAATGGTTAAAATGCGTTTTCACATAGATACAAGCATTTCTGTCAAGTTGTAAGTGAACAACAACAGTGGGGAGTCAGGTTAGCGTAGCGGTACTTTCCTCGCCTTCCGCCGCTGTGACTCGGGTTCGAATCCCGTCTGGGCCAATATGTGGATTGGGTTTTCAGTCCCTGCCTGATTCCATGGGTTTCCCCCAGAATATTCTTTTGGGCTTTTCCTCCCACCTCTAAAACTGTAATTTCTTCTCATTGTCTCCTCTCTACAGGTTTCTTCAGGCTTGCCAACTACAGTGCCTAGGGCGCTTTTGAGGAATCCTTGCTTTCATTACCAGAAGTAAAATAATATAAATATTAATAACTGAAACTCAAAAGACTTGGTTGTATCTGAGCGAAAAAGGAAACTGTTTTTATATGTAAGCATACTGTTGGATATGTGACGAAAAAAAAATTTTCCTTTTCAATAATACAAACGTTGAGGTGGACTTACTGTTGAGATGAGTTTCATTGCACTGAGCTGCAGTTCACTGATGTTCTCCACAAAGAAAGGCGCCGTCCCAATAGACGATACCTTGAAATTGAGGAGAAAAAATGATGATCAAGTATTATTTCAAAATCTGTTCATGCAAGTCAAACAGTGCTAACCAGTTCACGACAGAGGATGTGATAACACGCACTGGCTGTTTTTATACACAGGCACGGCTGATGGGTTAAAGCTAGAGTCCATCATTTGCAGCCACCCGAAAAGTAACTGGCATAATTATTGTTGAAAAACAACTTGGTTGAAAGATAGTAAGGGAACTAAACTCCCTGTGAAATTATTCTTTCTGGGAAGCTGTCATTTTGAAGTAATCAACGAAAGAAGGCATTTCCAACGGTGCTTCTTAAGAAGCACCGTAGGAAAATTTAAATTAGTAGTTCGTTTTGTTATTCAGCGCAGCGCGCACAAGTATTGGAACGACGCACACGCGTGCGCGGTTGTTATAATTCGTCGGATCAGTGCGCGACGTCGTGTATAGCTGCAATTCAAAACAATTCAAAACATGATTCAGTAACTTTGGATTTGAAATTGAGATCTTAGAATGCTGTTTTTCTTGGAATGTACAGCTGAAGCTTAGCTGAAACATCATCAGGTTAGTTGCTCAGTATCCTTCATTAGATTTTGAACTCTTTTGTTGCTTCAAACGAACAAAATGCACAAATTACAAATGATGGACTGTAGCTTTAAGACGTGAAGTTTGCCTCGACTTGCCTCCGGGTGACGTCTAAACACACCTTCCCTCATGCCTTTTGTACACACACACAAAGTCTGTGGAGGCGGACTGTGTGTTGATCTTGAATCGGCCGTTGTGCACGGCCTATTGTTGTACAATTTATGCTCCAGTGCACACACCAGAGTGAAACATGAGGTCTCGGCAAGAAATATCGTACAAATACTGTTGAAATGACTCTTGAGAATCAGTATTTGTGGCATTTGGCTGTATATCAGAAGTTGGCTGGACAATTTTGCCTTTTGAGAAAATTGAAATTTCAGCAAAAATACTCCTGGGGCGAAGTGGTTAACTACTGTTCCCGCACAGAGTCAAAACGTTACGATTTCTACTCACCAACAATACTGTTGAGTCAGTTAGGATCTGTATGTCCAACAGCTCGGCTACGTTGGAGACCAGGACACACAGTTTGTTGTACAAGGCAAGAATGGACTTCTCTGTGGATCCGTGGGCACGGGCACGCTTCATCTTCATGTTGGTGTACACTGCATCTGAAAAAAAAAATGAGAGTCCAAGAATTCTTTTGTAAATTTTGGATTTATGTATTTTTTTTTACAAAAATCAATTCAAAAGGATGCAGGTAGGTTGCTTCTCGTACCGTTTCCATTGCAGCATTCAAAACACGACAAAAGCAAAAGATGTAAGAATAAGGGACTCGATTAACCCTAACCCTCCTCAATCCTCCAGGCAGTTTGGCATGAGGTGAACACTCCTCTTAAGACCAACCCGACCAACCATATAGGCCACTCGGGTTGGGACACACCATTTTGGAGAGTCTGCCCTGGAGGATTAAGACTCTTAACCGCACTTATCCTATAATTGGTTCCATAAAGGAGCGAAGGTCACACTACCTGAGAGATTTCAAGCATATTATTTCGTAGCTAAATTCAATCTAAAATTTTATCATGATGATGTACCTGAAATGTTGACTTGTTTTATATGTTGAAGTGTGAAAATCGGTGAATAAATGGACGAGAACAATCTTTTACTGCTATGCTAGCATAAACCACAATCACCAGAAAGTATAATTCCAGAAAGCAGTGTGGCCAACAGGTGGTAGTTCATTAAACCACAAGTGATTATCTCGCTGGGACTGTGGAGCAGGGAGGGGAGTTTTGTTTACGTAACATGGGGAGGATTTTGGGAGGATTGATTGATTTTGGGAGGATTGAGGCTGAATGGCAAAAATACGCCAGTTGATTTGGACGATGCATAGGCTGTACCATGCATTATTTATGAGCAGCCATAGCGTAATACAAGGTCTGTATTATACTGGACAGCGTCTGCTTCTGCATATCATCGGCACTGCTTCAACTCATTAACAGTGATAGTTGGAGGATTTTGGAGGATTGAGGCAGCGGTCACCCCTCCACTGAACAACTTCAAGAAATAACGGACGATTTTGGATCGAGGCAGAATCCAATTTTAACGTGCCGCCTTTAGGAGGGTATTGCACGATAGAGAATGCTTCCTAGAAAAAGGGCCTAGGCAGTTAGGGTTAAAAACGACTCAAAACAACTTTTTAGCTAGTTTTTTTTTGGCTAGGTAGTTTGCCTTTAATCCTAACAGTCCTCAATCCTCCAACAGGTGAAGGGTTGAGGACTGTTAGGGCTAATAATCACTCTTTGAGGGACAACTGCAATACGGAACGCATCAGAAGTACAAAAATCATAGATGTCAGTTGTAACAGGGACAGGAAAAAACCTGGACCCAACATTTATAGAATGACCCAATTCCAAAGAGATCCGATACTCACTCTTATCCGTGTTGACTCGATAGACGGGATCAAACTGTGGGTAGATGGAGTTCTGCAGCTGGAACTTGGCCAGGTTGGCGATGCGGTCGATGACATCCTCGATGAACACCTCCTTGGGCATGGCCTCTGAGGTCATGATGTAGAGGGCAGTCAGGGCCGAGTCGATGGAGCGCGTGATCCTCTCCATGGCCAGCTCTCGCCATAGACGCTCCCCACGACCTCCCTCGTCCTGACGGGTGGGTAAAACAAAAATCAGTCAATACCTTAGGCCAAAAAAAAAAAGTCCCCGGTTTCTGGTATGCGCGCGCGTTGCCGTAGCCATGCGCGTCGGCAAAATGAAAAAGTTTTTTTTTCAATGAAAGATGATGTCTCAAAACCGCCAAACTCACTGGTTTGACTGGAATCCTGCTGCTGCACAATTTTAACGTGTTTTTAGATGGGGTTATGATCGAGAATAAGCTTTATGTGGCCTCTCTGGACTCCCATATAATTGCACTAAGTTTAGTCGGGCACCATTTGCAGTCATCAGCCGACACTTGAAGGAAAAAAATCAGGTAAAAAAAAAAAAAAAGCCGCGTCGCTGCACCACTTTTTGGGCAAGCTCCAGAAACCGCACACGTTTTTTTTTTGGCCTTATCCGTTTAATATAGCATTTATTGGGAGAACACAAATTTCATTGGAGCATTGTTTTCCAATTAACCTATCACGGTAGAATCGCGTCAACGCAGCTTGTGAAATATTGTCCAATTACATGATAAACAAATGGATGCGGAATGCGCAACATCTGCGACAAACAAAGCTTAGCGTACAAAAACTCCATAGGGTTGTCTAAGGGGCATGGCCAACTCGCAAACGGCGATAGGTCAATAGTTCCACTCAAGTGCCATGGTATGCGGGTTCGAACCCTGACGGGGAACATGGTGCTTGTGTTCTTGGGCAAGACACTTTGCTACAATTGCCTTTCGCCACCCAGGAGTATAAACGGGTAGCTGTGAGGGTAGAGCCCAGATTGCACTCACCACGTGCTGCTGCAGAAAAATGGTCTCATGGACTGATGAACAGGAGTAATAATTAGCAAGTTGTATCCTTTGGCAAAGGCGCTTTATAAATACCAGTTATTATTATTATTATTATTAAATTAAACAGGGCTTAAGTAGAAGTTTACTCCAGGTTTTACGGGGTACCTCAGGGTTCACTCTGGAGTTACCGCTTATTTCATTTGCATTCATCTCTTACCCAATTTGCATTAACTCACGCCAAACTTTTATTATTATGGACATCAGTCCTGCTAAGTTAGTTTTAAAAAAATTCCAAATCCCCAAAATGAAGAGAAATCGGCATAAGCCTCAAGAACCCAAGCTTGATTCATACAGCTTTGAATTCAGGAGTTTTGCTTCAACTCAACTTTTTGGACAGATTTTATCAACTCAGTAGTTGAAAATATTTTATGTTCAAAAATTAATTTCATTTGGATTGACATTTTTCTTTTTTGATGAAGAAAAAGAAGCTACTTACATGGTTAACGTTGGGCTTCACTTTTGTTCCATCACGGATGTTTCTCTCCAGGATGTTCAACAGCCGGACAAGCTTCTCGTGAGGAATCTGGGGATAACAATTTACAAATAAGACACAAATTTGGGAATTGTACATAAGACTCGGCTGAATCAAGGTGCTTTTCTAAAACATGAGATTTTTAACAACCATTTCTGAATGATATTCCAAAGTTGCATCGAACCAAATAATATTAGGAGCAACTGGGGTCGACCCAGATTTTAGTTTCAGACTGGCACCATTTATGTACACGAGTTAATCTGAATGACTGCAACGATTAGTCGTTTTGACAAAGTTGCTCCTTTTTCAAACATTAAACATCAGCAGGTCTTTTATTTCCAAAATTTCAGAATAATTTGGTTGAGCGTGACACTGGAATGTGTCAAGCAGGGATGACTTTCAGAGAAAATAGGAAAATCCACAAAAATAATCAGCAGATGTTTTGAGGGTTGACATAGGGTCTAGTGTGTATGTTTGTATAAATTTAATATAAAATTTAAATAAATTTAATTTAACCCTAAGATAATAATCTCTCTTGTTCAAAATGTAAATTTGAATACGTAAAAACCACCTTAATGATAAAGCCTCAGGAATTTCTTATTTCAAAAGTGATTCTTTAAGAATCCTGAAATCAGAAAAAATCCTAACAAAAAATCCTGGAATGGGGGAAAATCTTGACAAATCTCATCCCTGGTCAAGGGAATTTGGACTATTTTGTTAGTGCCTCACCTGGTTCATAACACCCATGGATTTGAGTTTGGCCGATTCTGAGACCAGATCATTCAGGAGAGGTTTGCTGATGAGGAGCTCTGGATTACACTCGTCTGTCTCCTCTTCATCGTCAGCTGTTAAAAAGCAAATTCAAAACAAACATTTGTAAACAATCAACAAATATTGACACATCTCACACACAATTATGAAAAACCTGCTAGGATCACATGAACTTAAGCTTTTCTACAACCCATTTCCACATTGTTGAAATTTTGGAAAACGATTAATTCCATTTGGGCCTAGGCATTTTTTTTTTACTATTGAGTGGAACCTGATATCCTTCTATTGCTGAAGAAATTTTTTTTACTCTAGGTGATGTGCACAGTACTGCATTGTGGCCGATTTTGTTCAACGTCTTATTTGTTAAAAAAATGCTTATTTTTTGTACTGTTCGAGTACACTTCAATCATTATTTCAGTTAAATTTCCAAAAAAAAATAACAAGACTTACCTTGCTCGACACTAATCTCCATATCTTCAGATCCTTCAAACACTGACTCCATGGCTGCATGGAACCTCTTGAAGGTGGCTGACTCGGTCAGCTCTGTGGACATCGACATTCACAAAATGGTAAGTCAAGGTCAAACACAAGCCCAGAATGAAAATAAGGCAGTGCCTTAATTACGTGGCTGTGGGGGGGAAGTGTGGCCTAGTTGTTAGGGTTTGCGACTCATGATCAGAGGGTCAGGGGGTCGAATCCAGCCGCTGGTTATATGTTGTGTCCTTGGGCAAGCCACTTCACCCCAACTTGCCTCTCTCCACCTAGGGGTATAACTGGGGAGTAACCTGCGGTGGACTAGCATCCCGTTCAGGGGAATAGAAATACTCAGTCGTTTGAATTTGGATTTGAACCCCTGGAGATAAAAGCCGGCCTGATGGGCCACATTGGCTCGTGACTGACTTTACTTACTTTTACTGAATTAAGTAGCTATGGCCGACAGTAACACATGTGGCTATGGTAAGTGTAATTGCAAGCCGTAGTCAAGTAATGTGGCCAAGGCATTGTTCTAATTACTTGGCTACGTCTAAGCAATAACACATGGGTCTATGGGAAGAGGCTGCAGCCGCTTCCATAAGCGCGTGTAAGGCTCCAGCCATATCCATAGCCGCTTGTGTAATTGCAAGCCGTAGTCAAGTAATGTGGGCAAGGCGGCGTTTGAATTACTTGGCTACGGCTAGGAAATAACACACAGGTCTATGGGAAGTAGCTGTAGCTGCTTCCATAGGCGCGTGTATGGCTCCAGCCATATCTATAGCCACTTGTGTAATTGCAAGCCGTAGTCAAGTAATGTAGCCAAGGCCGTGTTTGAATTACTTGGCTATGGCTAGAAAATAACATTGGTCTATGGGAAGTGGCTGCAGCCGCTTCCATAGGCGCGTGTATGGCTTCAGCCATATCCATAGCCGCTCGTGTAATTGCAAGCCGTAATCAAGTAATGTGGCCAAGGCCGTGTTTGAATTACTTGGCTACGGCTAGGAAATAACACACGGGTCTATGGGAAGTGGCTGTAGCTGCTTCCATAGGCGCGTGTATGGCTTCTGCCATATCCATAGCCGCTTGTGTAATTGCAAGCCGTAGTCAAGTAATGTGGCCAAGGCCGCATCTGAACTACTTGGCTACGACTAGGAAATAACACACAGGTCTATGGGAAGTAGCTGTAGCCGCTTCCATAGGCGCATGTATGGCTTCTGCCATATCCATAGCCACTTGTGTAATTGCAAGCCGTAGTCAAGTAATGTGGCCAAGGCCGCATCTGAACTACTTGGCTACGACTAGGAAATAACACACAGGTCTATGGGAAGTAGCTGTAGCCGCTTCCATAGGCGCGTGTATGGCTTCAGCCATATCCATAGCCACTTGTGTAATTGCAAGACATAGTCAAGTAATGTGGCCATGGCATTGTTCCAATTACTTAGCTACGGCTCGAAATAACACACGGGTCTATGGGAAGTGGCTGCAGCCGCTTCCATAGACGCGTGAATGATTTTTCTGCTGTAGCCAAGTTATCCGGACACAGCCTAAGACACGAAGAATTTTCAGAACTGCGTGATACAAATGGAGAAAGCAGCCAACCTACCATCGTCGTCTAGATATGTGACCCTCTTGTTTGGCGTTTTGTCCCTCTTTAGTCTCTTCTTTGGTGCTGAAACGGAAATAAAAGACATGAAATTTAAACAAATTCAAACAGTCATTTTTAGGTACTGCAGAACGGCAGGGTCTAACCCGTAACTTGTGTCATTTACAGCAATCTTTTAAAGGAAAAACTTTAAAAATGTTGAAAATCTTTTTGTGTTGCGAAAGGTTCTTCATGTGATATCTTAAGTTACATCACATATGAATCACAACCCCAGACTTAGCAACAAGTCATCTGAAGACGATCTTGAAGCAGTAGAATTCTTTTAAGTGAGAATGGGTGAAGGAAAAACTAAGTGCATAAAAAGATATTCGGGTATGAGAGAAAATCGCTACAACTCTTGGGTTATAATTGAGTATAATTAAAGACGATCACAAGTCCGTTCACAAGTAAATCATGAGTCAATTAACAAGTCCAGTCACAAGTAACAGGGTTGAGCAATCTTTAACCCTAACCGCCCTGAATCCTCCAAAATCTTTTTTTGCAAATTGGAGGAATTTGCAGGATTGAGGTTACATGGCAAAAGTGCGTTGCTGATTTCGGAGTACGCACTGTGTCAAGGTCTTGGGCCGGACCTTGTGTTGTTTATGCTCAGCCGTGCATAAATTTTAGCCCTTGATTATACTTGACATCCTCCGCACTGCTCCAGGATGTCACTGCCTCTGCCTCAGCCTATTGACAGTCATAGCCGGAGGATTTTGCAGGATTCAGGCAGTGGTCACCCCTCCATGGACCATATTCAAGAAATAGCGGAGGAATTGCAGGATTGAGGCTATATGCTATTTTTCCATGAGGCATTGGAGGATTTTGCAGGATTGAGGCTGCATCCTAGCAAAAAGGCCTAGGGAGTTAGGGTTAAGGAATGCTCTTGTCACAATCATTGGAATAGCTTGTGAGTTGACTCCAGACTAGATGACTTGTGATGGACTTGTGATTGACCGTAAGTACCTTGACTACAACACTGTAATAAAGGTATAAGGGAACATTTACTTTTTTTTGTTTTTAGTTAAAAGCAATCATTTTGCAAAGTTCAGCTCAGTGGATACTATACATTTGGAGAAAACAGAGACAACATATTCTGGGGGTCTCGTAACTGGATGTTGTAGAAATCTGTGCCCACGGGCACATTTTCTTAAACCTTATACAATGATTGTGTTCTACTGACTGACACCGTTTTATGCGGAATAATTTCACAGGGTGTTTGGTACCAGACCTATCTTCACTTTAAGCAAGGATTTTCACGTTAAATCGGTGGGTATGTTTCTGGGTAACTGCAACCCTAACAGAACTCAACCCATCAAACCCCAACGGCATGTTTTGTTGGAATCTGTCAGGATGGGTACAGTACCCCAAAACCGACAGTCTCTTACATTGGGTTGGCACACCTCCAGAATCAAAGACAGAAATATGTGTGTGCAGTTTCCTATATGTGACCCGCTCTGCAAAAATGAGTCTGATGTCGCATAATTTGAATTCAAGCTTTTGCCATTTTGAAATGGAAACAGTAAAAATTTGCTCAAAATTTGGATTTTTTTGTTTTTGTTTTATTTTGGTTGTTTGATAGTTTTAGTTCAAATATCTTACACAGAAATGTAAATATTGTAAGAAAAAGAAAACAAACTATGAATCTTTGGTGCTTTTCTTGGTTAGTTACAGTGTATTTGTCATTTTTCAAAGCCTTTTTTCTCCATTAAGACACTTCTAGCTTTGCATTAACTTTACAGAATGAAACAAGCACAACAATGCAACCAAATGTCCTAGAGAGACCCATGATACACCAAATGAAAGCTTATTTCATTCCCATTTTATTAATGTAGTTAACTCAAAATGTCAGTTTTGCCACAACAGACTCATTTTTGCGGAGCGGGTCACATATGGTGTTGGAATTTACCAGGATGAGTATGATTCCTAGTAAATCATGCTAGGGAGTTAGGGCTAATTGCCTTTAAAGATACAAATCGAGTGTCAGAGTGTAGATGCGAGAAGATGTCATTACCTTCTTCTTCTTCATCATCATTATCTTTATCTGCCTCTTCTCTCTCGATGAAGATCTGCGCTGGGGGACCCTGAGACACTGGGGACGGCAGGGACTCCTGTCTGGATGCCGGAGGCGGCGCCGGTTCCCACTCCTCTTCGCTCTCCATGTCCTTCCGCTGTCGCTTCTTGCCCCGTCCCATGGGTTTGTTCAGTAAGGCTGCCTGGTCCTCCGATATGGACAGCTTGGTGAGTAGTATCCTGGGTTGACTGATTGCACTTTTAGCCGCCGATTCTGTCGGGAGATGGTTTTTGGTGAATTGACTTTTAGAAATGCTGTAAGGTTCCCTGCAGAATTACCTGGGAAGTTGGTTAACATTATGTTAATTATATTTGCCGCTGTGAGCCTGCAGTTGACGGATATCCCCCTCCCAACCTTTCCCACAATTAATCAACTCACCCTGCTCGTCTGAGCCGTTCGCGGAAGCATTGTCTTCGTCTTCGTTGCTATCTTTGTTACGTGTCGATGTTCTTCTGGCCTTATTTGCTGGGGTGTCGTCCTCCTCCTCATGTACTTCTTGTGGCTGAGGCACGTCCTGAGGCTTGGAAACCTCTTGAGGTTCGGGTACCTCTTGAGGTTCGGGTACCTCTTGAGGATGAGGTTTAACCTCTCGAGTTTGAGGTACATCCTTATTTGACTGAACTACTTCCGCGTTCGGTTTGGGTACCGCTTTGGGAGTTTTCCTATCTCTAACCCCGACGACACCTGTCCTTTCATCTAAATTGGAATCTTCCTCAAAGGCATACTCGTTTCGCATGTCCCGTCTCACTTCTTGCTTCACGACTTGTTCCGGTTCCTTCAAAACCGTTTCAGGTTGGGCCGTCAACACAGTCTCTGGCTGCCTCACGACGGTCTCACGTTTCGGCTCCGCCGGCACCTTGTCTTTCTCCTTTTCTTTGGGCTCGCTGGACTTGACCGGAAACCTCGTCAGCTTCAGTTTGATCTTCGTGGAGCCGCTGGTGTCCGGGGAACTCACGATGTTGTACTGCGGCAGCTCTTTGTCCCTGTCCCGATCCTCTTTGTGGGATTTGCTGCGCTTTCGGCGCCGGCTGGAGTCCTTGACCGACGAGTCCGACTCGGTGACATCGTGAGAGGAGCTTTCTTGGCTGGTGTGCGGATCGGCTTGATAACTGGCAGGGGACTGATATGCACTGACAGACACCCCTCCGTCAGATTCCTGTGAAAGAAAGTATGCTTACTAGTACCTAGTTTTAGATTTCACTATTTGAAGAAATTAATCATAAAAGTTAGGAGGATCTGGGATTTCAATTCAGTCTTTAAGTCTGCTGGCCACCACAGGTTCCAATAAAGACAATATTCAACAGACGCTTTGCATTCAGCAACCATCTTTGAGAGGTTTTTTGTTGTTAAACAATAAATGTACAAAGGGTCTTCTTATGTGTAGCCCTGTGGAATGAAAGAACATACCTCAAAGATGGCTGCAATGCAAAAGATCTGTGGAACTAACTTGGCTGCTGACACCATAATTGTCCTGGGCCCAATTTCTTGGATCTGCTTACCGTTAACGCAAAATCCCTGCTTGTATAGCAACAAATTCCGTGCTTACGGTAAGCGTACTTCACACATAAGCAAGGAATTTTTGCTTCTGCGCATGAGTATATCCCGTAACTGGATTCTGCGCTTACGGGTTAGCACACAATTGTTCTGCTATTGCGGTTAGCACAAAATTTGTGGTCGTAAGTGCGGAATTCTGTGGTTAGCAGAGCCAAGAAATTGGGCCCTGGTCATTTTCCAATGCCAATAGGTGCCATCGGTTCGTACTACTACGCCTTGTTGCACTGAGCCGAGTTTGGGTCAATTGTCTATGTTTGATTTTGAATGTCAACTCTAACATTGAGGACACACTGTGGCAATTACCCTTCCGGATACAGCTCTCTGATTGACTTCCTGGTTTGGTGGCCGTTTGCGTGGGCGTCCTCTCCCCCTTGGGGCAGGCTGTTGAACATAGTCTCCTGAAGGACCGGCTCCTGTCAAAAGCAAATGCATGAGTGAGTTTTAGAAGATTATTCGAAGACACGTCACAAATTCAATCAATACTTGTTTTGATAATAGTATGACTAATTCGGATACATTTCATTCATTCCGCAGGAATACATGAAATATTGCATAAAAAACATCCAGTGATTGTCACATACCTGCACAGGGGCAAAAATAAATATGGGAAATGACGAAAACAAATTTATAACAGGTTTTTTGACAAAATAATTCAACCTAAAATTCATACACACGAATTACAATGTATTTGAGGTACCTCCTAAGGATTTGCTTGAAAGAAAATACTTAATATTTTTCGAATTCTTGCTGTGATAGTCTAGCAGTAACAAGATTCTTGTCAACAGAATGGATACGTATAGCTTTATAAACATAAGTCAAACTGACTGACAATACTCTATTCTTACAGTGAATGTTTTTTCTTATATAATAAATTATATAGACCATTATCATGTTGTGGCATCTTGATTTTTTCCCATTCAAATCAACGTAACCAAAGTGAGGCTGGAAGGAAAAATAGTCTGGTTCCTTTTTGCACAAAAAATATTATCATTCAGTACTGTTATTGGATACAGGGAACATGACTGAAATGGTGGCAGCATGATAAAGGTCTATTACTGGTTTTTTGTTTCCTGTGAAGCACATCGAGACCTTGGTGTGATGCTATATAAAAACTGTGTTGTTATTATTATTATTATTATTATTATTTTAATGAAATAATACATGCGTTGCCTACCATTAGGTGGCTGTGCTAGTTGAGATCTTGATTTGGCCTGTACGGGCGGTGGAGTTGGCACAGGCTGACTGGGACTTGTGGCAGTAGCTGGGGACAACTGATGCCCCGTGTAACCATTGACTGACGTTGGCACGGGTGATCCTGTTGAAGGAATAAGAATTGTAAAAGTCAAGTACTTTCATAGATTTTTCCTCAAAAATCAGTTTCATGTGGACTTTGTGCCAGGTACCCCCATTTCATTGGTAGGCAATGATTCTCAAAGCAAGAAATCACTCTCACATTTAGTCATTTTCACTTTCTCTTTCCAAAGTTAAGAACATAAGGTGCAAGGAACCAGGGTTTTAAGTTGTACGGGAAAGCTCGCCTTAACCCTTACCCCCTAGGCCCTTGTTGCTTACAACCATCCTCAATCCTCCAAAATCCTCCAAAATTTTGCAACTCCGCCTAAATTTTTCAAAATTGTCAGACAGTCTGGCCTCAAAATGCATTCATCCTCAATCCTCCAAAATCCTCATCCCAAAATTTTGCACTCGTGTTTAAATGAAGGATAACCCAACGCCAAATCCTTCAAAATCATCAGACAGTCCTGCCTCAAAATGCATTCATCCTCAATCCTCCAAAATCCTCATGTGCTTCAATCACTATTCATCCTCAATCCTCCAGAATCCTCATTTGATTCAATCACCATTCATCCTCAATCCTCTAGAATCCTCCAAAACCGCCAGGAGGATTTTGGAGGAGTGAGGTGGGTTAGGGTTAACCTTGTATAGTGAGGCTGATTCTCATATGAAAATGGACCATCTTCCTGCCATGCTTCACAGTACACTGTTTAATTTGTTGCCAAGTTTATTAAAAATGTGAGGCGTTCTGGCAAAATGAGACAGAACTGGGCAGAGGTCGAAAAGAGGGTTTGCAGGTATTACGAAAGAGGATAAAATTCTCCTTGCAATACTGTTTGTTGCACTTCAATCGGACATTCCATTGACAAGATGTGGCTGTTTAAAGTTTGCATTTATCAACAAGTCAAAAAAAATAAAATACTGAGAAAAAGGCCTTAAAGTTTTCAAGTCTTGTATTCGTGGAAATGAAAGATGCCGATTGCTCTTCCTTAAAAGTACTGTCATTCCAGAATTGTTATATTATTTCTTTAAAACAATGTGTAGTAGACATAAAAGATCACAAATACCAATAAATCTGAAAATAAAAAAAAATAAAAAAAATCATCCCCATTTTTTTTTGGTGGCATTTTCTCCACTACAGCTTGTGCCCAGTTCCGTCTTTTGTCAGAACGCCTCAAAAATGTTGAAATGAAGGAAAAAAGTTTGCAAAATTCAAGCGCTGGATGTTTCACAAGGATTTTCGCTTACAAAGTCTTAATTGCTTTAACAAGTCCAGTTAAAAATCCTGGCTGAACCTTGTTTCTGGGAACGAAAAGTGAGCTCTGAATTACCTTGTCCAGACAGTCCAACATGTTGATATCTGGTCGGGCTTCCGTGGGGCACTTTGACTGAGCTCCCCTGCGGGTAGGCCGCCGGGCTGTTTGGGGTGAATAGCGGGGACGAGTTGCCTTGCATGCCCATGGTGTGAGTCCGACTGTAGGGGCTGTGCTGAATGGCGCCCTCCGGCGACTGCTGGTAGTAAGGCGAGGGGGCCATGGGTTGTCTGGGCGACACACCTGCATTAAAAGGTAGAATAGTACAAAAACAATTTGTGTGATGAGTACTTTTTCTAATGATTAACCCGAACCCTCCTCAATCCTCCAAAATCAACTAAGCTGTTTCGGAAGATTTAGGCTGCATGCCATTTTAATACCAGTTGATTTAGGAGTACGCGTTGCGTCAAGGTCTTAAGCTGCACCCTGTGTTGTTTATGCGTAGCCATGCATAAATTACACTAGATACCATTCGCACTGCTTCTGGATATCATCGGCAATTCCTCATTGCATTACAGTGATTGTTGGAAGATTTTGAAGGATTGAGGCAGTGGTCACCCCTCCACTGAACAAATGCAAGAAATGACGGATTATTTGGGAGGATTGTGGCTACATCCAATTTTTACATGGGGCAATTTGATGACTTCGAAGGATTGATGGATCCTAGCCAACATGGCCTAGGTGGTTAAGGTTAATGGCTGCTCAATCATTTTGAGGCCACAGATGAAACCGACACCACAAGACAAAGCCATGGTTTCAAAAAAAAAATTCTTACATTTTAAGAAAGATGAGGGTTCACCCCCCCCCCCAACATCAACCCACTAAATCTTACCTCCCATCTGTTCCATCCGCTTGTGTTTGAAGACATTGGGACTACGAGCCAGTATCGCTTGCAGTAAGACCGGTATGTCGCCTTCAATTTCATTACTACTTGACTTGTCTTTCAGTTCACTAAAGTAGAGAAAAACAAAAAAAGTGATGAACAACGAACAATGCAATGTGGACTTTGTTTCATCATTAAAATGATGCAGTAACTACAACAGATGATGTAGTTACTCCAACATGGGTGATAACTTATTATATGAAATAAACTTTGCACATTGGCAGTTATACAATGTGTCAGGAACATTATACATAACTTCCAGACAGATTGAAGTATATTACAGGCTTTCAAGCAGACCCAGGTGAAAAAGTACGAGAACAGTAGGATCAAAATTTAAAAAAAAATACAGGACAAAAGTAAGACTTTGGAGGACAAAATCAGGATAAAAGTAGGACTTTTGCAGGCTTTCAGGAGTAGTTTTCGTTGATACTCCCCCATGTCCACAGCATCATAAACTTCATTTGGCATGTTCTGTACTCACAACACTTGTGCTCCATCCTCAACTAAGTTCTTTGAAATACAGTTGCAGTACTCCTGCACCCGAGCTTTTCAATGTCCAAATGACATATATAGTGTGTCACACTGCTATGAAAAATTTTCAATGAGATTTCATTTTTTTTGAGTTCTGGGACAAAAAGTAGGGAAAAGTAGGAAAAAGTAGGAATTTGGAGAAAAAAGTAGGGAAAGTCCGAGCGAGGTAAAAAAAAAAAAATAGGAAAAAGTAGGGAAAGTATGAATACTTGAAAGCCTGATATTAGGCCATGTCCAAAAGGGCTGTCCAATGACTAGACAAAATCTCTTAACAAGAGATTGGTACATGGCCTTATACTTCTTTTATTAGTTAGAGTTATTCTGTCTGGTAACCTACATGTTGTCTGTGTTGGTCTGGCTGAGCGCATGCAGAAGCTGGGGTACCAGATTCTCATCTTGGATTCCAAGGAGACGTTTGGCTTCATCTGCCACGCGAGGGCTGTACAACAACCCTTTGTTGTTGACTGTGCAGGGTAACGGCGAGGGCAACGGAAGCTCTGTTAACACTGGGGATGAAGTAACAAAGGTTAAAGGGAAAATACAACATTTGCAAACATCAAAAAATAAAACTACCAAATCATTTTGAAATACCTTGCTGGACTGTTAGTGAATGACAGTGTAAAGCATCCTGTAAAATCATGGCATCTGGTAAACTGTCATTTTCAAGAAAAGTGGTATTTTTGTATCAATTTCCAACGCTGGTCGGACGACCAGCGTTGGAAAAAACTGGCTTTCTTTCAAATACTGGCCCAAATTGACCATCGCACTTGTGTGCAATTGATTACACACCTATGAACGGGTACAAGCCAGCTAGACTGGTTCTCTGACCTTACAATTCCCCAATGTATGTACACTGCTCTGTTTCTTCTTATAAGGAGTCAGGAAACCAGACTACAATACAATGATTGTTTTTCTTGGTTTTTATAGCATTTTTGAACCCAAAACCTCAAAAAAGTCAGTGTAACTATATTTGCAACCCCCCAATTCCATCCATTTCTGAAAATTACAGCAAAAGCAAATGATGTATATTCCCTTTAAAGGTAAACACGGAAACAGATTGTTGTAAATTTTGTTCTTAACTCGGAGAGGCCAAACTGTTTTGGCTTAACGTTAATCAATTTATGTATGGTCTGTTCAATTTCACCAGTACAGAGTATCGAAAGCTAAATTTGTGTGCAACTGGATATAGGTTGGCGCGGACATCCAGTATTTTTTTGACATTGGCTTATCTACATGCATGCAACTGGGAATTTAGGGGAAAAAACGAGGAAACTCCAAACCGCACAAGACTTTGTACAGTGTTTTTCAATTTGTAATGGCATTCCTGAGAAGCAAAAAATGAGGAAATCAGCGGATCTGCGGAAAAGTTGCATGCCTGTATCTAGCTCCCAGACCAATGTTCTTGAAACTCAATGGTTCCCGAGTCTGGCCTGCTGAATGGTAACACATAGCAACAAATGAAAACTGATGTGCAAATGAATAGATGTATTTCATCAGATGACGTCACTCCGCCCCGATCTATAGCAAAAGTAAGTTAAATATTGAAATCCCTTCCAATCTTGACCAATTTTAGTTTTCTTTACACAAATGTTATATTAACCCTAACTCCCTAGGCCTTTTTTGCTAGGATGTAGCCTCAATTCTGCAAAATCCTCCAATTGGCGTCACGGAAAAATAGCATATACACTGTAGCCTCAATCCTGCAAATTCCTCCATTATTTCTTAAATATGGTCCAGGGAGGGGTGCCCACTGCCTGAATCCTGCAAAATGCTGCGGCAGTGACTGTCAATATGTTGAGGCTTGGTCAGTGACATCCTGGAGCAGTACGGAGGATTTCAAGCATAATCCAGGCCTATATTTGTGCATGGCTGAGCAAAAACAACACAAGGTCCGGCCCACGACCTTGACAAAGTGCATCCTACGAAATCAGTAACACACTTTGATCATGCAACCTCAATCCTCCAAATGCCTCCACTTTGGCAAAGAGGATTTTGAAGGATTCAGGGCGGTTAGGGTTAATATGTATATGCGTTGGTATTTTGAATATTAGGCCTAGATACTTACAGTCAGTCAGACTTGATATACCAGACAAGGTTGTAATGGGAACACTTGGGACCTCTCCATTCATGTTGACTTAATTGCACGACACCCTCCTGTTCAAAAAAATAAATTGTGGCCGTAAAATTCGATCACATTCTAAATAATACATTTTCAAAATGAATCATTATTAGACCCATATTTAGTTTACTTTACTAAGTTAGTGATGTTTAATGTTAAAACCAACAGGAATGTTATGGTTAGAGAGCAGGGTTAAGAATGTTTTAGGGAAATTCAATACAAAAATTTAAAATGGCCATCACCAGGATAACCGCTACGCACTGTGAATGCGCAAAAAAAACGTTGATTCGCATCGGCATGTGGGTTATGGCTGCCACTAAATGACAAAATTGCATTATCTAGGTCTACCAAAAGATAGGCCTAATGTTATGCGCCAATCAAATGTTTCCCCCACCCCTCCCCTCCCGCGCTGCCCCAGGTCCGATGTCGGGATTTGGTCACGTTTTTCATGCCCCAGGGTGGGGATTTTGGTCACTCAAATAACATTGTTAACATTGGCGTACTAATGGAAAGGCAATCACTAGTGTGCCCCACGTTTGTAAGTCGGGGCATGGTCGGGGATTGTCACTTAAATTTTGCCCGAGGGGTGGGGATTTTGTCACTTCAAAAGTGACAATCCCCACATCTTGGGTGGGGCAGCCCGGGAGGGGAGGGGTGGGGGAAACAATTGATAGGCGCATTAGGGCCTACTGTCGTCATGACTGTCTAAAATTGCAACAACAAAATCATTGAAAATAGGGTCAAATTAAGATTTAAAAGACTGGAAAAAATATTGCATTCTGACGCCACTGTTTTCTTCATAAATTATCTCAATAAGGTCATTCATTGCAAAAATGAAGATTAACACATGAATCTGGGACAGTGAGAAACATTTCCAATTTTGTTTAGGAAATTTTCTTGACTCTCCATCATGTGCACAGACTTTGTACATAATCACAGAAGTGGCGTCAGGTTTCAACATTTTTTTCCGAAGACTGCTTCAGACCAACTCTGAGTTCAGGTCATTTTGGAATACAGAAATAATTAAAACACAGCCAACATGGCCAAAGGAAATGAAGGACCAAAAAGCATGACAAATATGGAGCCCAGTGACTGAGTAAAGACTAAAAAGAGTAGGCCTATTGTATTTGCAGTAAAAAAAACACACAATCACCAACAATCGGTAAAGATCTAACATTGTCTAACTTACTACTTTTTTACTAGTAGGGGCCTATCAATAGTATCATGGTCATTGTCATACTAATTAACTATAGACTCATAGTGTTGCCGATCATAGGCCCTATACGAATTTACATGCAAAAAGGTTCGCTACCCGCACAGTGACCCCCCACATGACCCACAGTCCATGCAATGTGCAGTCATGGACATTGGCTTGCGCGTTGGGGGTCAGACAAGTCGACCGTTGAGACAACTCGACTCGGGACAAGTCGACCGTTGAGACAACTCGACCGTTGAGACAACTCGACCGTATGTGCGATAAATGGAAAGACAAGTCGACCGTTGAGACATGTCGCCTCGCATGATTTTGGGCCTAGTTTTGGGGATAGTACCGGGGATTTTGACGGCGGCTGATCGCCGTTTGGGAGTTATGACACATTACTTTGTTTTGTTGCATAGAGCAGAGCCGATATAGCGCAGCGTGATTGTCCGTGCACATGCACATCGTTCGTTTTTGCCGGGCCTGTGCGCGCATCTCCGGTCAACCGCGTGGCCGTACCGTGCACGTGCCGTGCACGTTAGCTGTCTCAACGGTCGAGTTGTCCCGAGTCGAGTTGTCTTAACGGTCGACTTGTCTCAACGGTCGAGTTGTCTCAACGGTCGACTTGTCCCGAGTCGAGTTGTCTCAACGGTCGACTTGTCTGACATCCTGCGCGTTGCAGCACACCGCACGTACGTACTGCACTTGAACCCCTTCGAAAAGACACACAAAAAGAGCAAATGTGACACAAATCCTCACCCCTCTACGGTAACAGTAAGGAAGCCACCTTAGTCCGGAGTAGAACAATGCTATAATCAAAGTCAGAAAGGCATCAAATCCGAACAGGATGTCCCGAGAAATAACTCAGATGCCACCGAAAAGCGACTACATTGTCGCGCCAAAACAAGAGATATTTTGATCACAACTTAAATAGCATGCTATTCGGCCTTATCGTTAATTCTACGCCAACACCAACATCGGCGACCATTGTTCTCCTTTTTTGAGATTACAAACGAGGATTACATAGTCAGAATATATCAGTCTTATTATGGATTTTGTGTATGCGTTTTAATGCCAAAATAAACCTCACAGATAGAAGAAAAATTCACAAAAGAAACTATTTTAGGACGCGTATGGATACAATATGGCGTCCTCCATTAATTTTCACTTGACACTGGTGCGCGCGCTATTAAGCGCATAATTTCGGCTGCAAGCCACAGAGACCCCCCCCCCCCCCCCCCCCAAAAAAAGACAAAACAAAAACAGACCAAAAGAAAAGAACAATCGGAGAAAAGTGTTCTAACCACAAACAAAACATATCAGACACGAAAGTAGAAAGATTAATTGGGAGAAAAAGAAATGATTTTGATGAGAATTATGCTCAAGTTGTTAACATATAATTCTCGATATAAAGGCACACTTAACAGAAAAGTGAGGTTTTCCCCGATTGCCTTATTGTTTGAGTTCTTCGTGAAATTAATTATTCTTTCCTTTTTTAAAAATACAGTAATTGTCTCAAAAATATCCAACAAACGACTCCGCCCCTTTAATCAGCCACCACGATTTTAAACTTAATTCAGTCCTTTAAGAATATAATATTTATCATTGGTAAATTACGTCAACAAAAATACAAAGTTTACAAATATCTAACCCTTTTTGGATGATATGATGTTTTTGAAACTGTTTTTTAAAAGATTTAAAGAAAAAAATCATTTCGTACATGAAGTGCAGAATTTTGTCAATGAATTTTGGAAAGAAAAATATGAGCAAAGGACTGAATTAAGTTTAAGGTACAGTTAAAAACACATGCAGATTTTTGTTGCAAGCACATTTCGCAATCTGTCTTACAGTTGCATCGTTAGAATTTGTTTGGAAACCCAAGTTTGTCCGTTTTTTGAACTCCCCGTGATGTTCCGAAAAGCATTCCACACAAAGTCAAACATCGCCATTCGAGGATCAGACAGGTAGAACTTTTTCTCCTTAGTTTTCCCTATCAAAACAAAAGCAAACGTTTGTTACACAAACTTTACAGCATGACGTCCCTCTTTTTACGTCGTGCATGCGGTTCCTACGATGAAATATGGAGGGCGCTATTTCAAATTCGTTTGAATACGAAATGCAATACTCTTTTAGAAATATACAACATTTGTAAACATCGAAAAATAAACTACCAAGTTTTTACGAAATACCTTACTAGGATGTTGGTAAATGACAGTCTCAAGCATCTTGTAAAATTATGGCACCTGGTGTGAAGTCATTTTCAAGAAAATGGTATTTTTGTAAACATTTCCAACGGTGGTCGGCCGACCAGCGTTGGAAAAACCTAACTATTTTTCAACTACTGCTCCAAATGTGCCTTTTTTTTTCAGTCCAAATTTTGTTTGCTATTGGTTACATGTTCATGAACGGGTGCAGGCCAGCGTAAGACTGGTTCCCTTGCCTTACAATTTTCCATCATCTATAAATTGATCCATTTTATCTTTTGTGGAGTCAGGGAAGCAGACTACTTGAACATTTTTGGTTTTCTTGGTTTTTCCAACCTTTTCGAACACCAAACTTCAAAAATGTCAGTGTAACAATATTTGATCTATTATACTAACCTCTCAAATAGTTCATTTCTGAAAATTACAGCAAAAGCCAATGATGTACATTCCCTGTAAGGTTTCAGTCAATTCTGTAGGGAAAGAAAATGCGGAAGCACATGAGGCCAAGTAAAATAAACTTTCTTGTTCAAGCTTTTTAACAAGTGAAAGAGGTGGTTTTGTGTTCCTCGCCCCCCACCCTCCCCCCCCCCCCTCCCCCCCATCATCAATTATTACCTTTTACCCATGACTACACGCAGACACCTCCATATGATCATTTACTAAAAAATTGCCCCCCCCAAAAAAAAAGTTCCCATACCTACCTACCCTATTTTCAAATGCCATTTAATCGGAAGCAGAACTAATATTTTTGGCCTTAGATTACACTTTAAGGACCCCTTCCTAGAATCAAAAGACATTCTTACTATTCAAACTTGCCTAAACTGCTGGCGAAAGCCAGATTAAAATTTTTGTTTCTGATTCATGGCCCGGAAGGTTTTTTTTTTAAGGAAAGTAAAGTCTGAGCTACATTCAGTTGACAACTGAAGCATTCTAGCAACAAAGAAGAAATAGAGGGTTCCTATTAGTAAGTTATTGAGGTAGACCGAAAGTTTTTAACAAAATTATATGGCCAGACCACTCCCTTCAACTCGTATGAAAAAAACTTAACTCAATACCGATATTTTCTTTTCCCAACATGGTAACTGCAGGCGCAAACTGCGCAGCACCATCAGCGAGCAGTTTCCAGTTCTAGACTCGGACGAAGTAGCTGAGCTAACTCCGAACAAAGATGACATGACAGTGATGAAGATCACTACGCACAGCGATTGCATCATGCACGTCTACTGTCTGACGGGAACGCCGATATTCTTCCAGATTGAGAAGCAACTCTATCCAACAGGTATTAAGGGCATATGGAACATATGGTGATAACGCAGATTTAATGAAAAAAAATCTTTCAGGATAGGGATGGTATCAACTACCCTGTGAGATTACTCCACTTGAAATGGTATCATTTGGAAGAAAACAATGATTGAAGGCAGTTTTAAAAAGTGTGTCAGAGGGCACACTTTTTTTAATGTTTATTAGTAACAAAATCCGATTACGAGATCTAATACAAAAGTTGACATGTTTCTCAATATATGTACAGCTGCTATTGAACTAAAACTTCCATATATGTTAGTTAGGCACCCTGCTTAAAATTTTGAGAAATGTTGTTGTTTCAAAGTAATACAAAAAACACCAAAAAAAGCGGTTGAATTTGGGATTCTAGTCAAGGACCCCACCCCACCCCACATATGCCCCTCCCCCTTGTTGACATCTACTCACAATTATAGATATCATTTTATGGATATTTTGTTTATTCCTCGTCTAATTCGGATGAAGTCAAGTGAAAAAAAATAATAATATAAATCTGCTTAAAACAGTTTTAGTTATAACTTTGTAAATGAATTTTCTATAAAAGTTATAGTTTTGAACATCATTTTGATTTCATTTTTTTCCTTCAGTTTACACCCTTTGGAAGCACCCTAACCTACTACCATGCCTCACTACTTGGCCACAAGTCCTGGACAAAATCTCAGGGGGAGCAGGTAAAGTGACTCCCTGATTTTTCTGTCTGTTGGTCTTCCTGTCTGTTTGGCTGTACTGTGTGGCTGTCCATTTGCACTGTTGGTACTTGTCCTAAATGAGCCATTCTGAATTTGGTCTTAAGCGACTGCCCACGTCTTGCCTGGCCAACAACACACGCATCTCCCTATAATACAGTAGTGCATGTTCCCGCGACACCTGTCAAGTCTAAAGTGTACACGTGACAGACTGTGATTGGTCCAACCACTATGAGGCAGGGCCTAACCCTAACCTTCCCAAATCATCCAAAATCCTCTTTGCCAAATGGAGGATTTTGCAGGATTGAGGCTATATGGCAAAAATGTGTGGCTGATTTTGGAGGATGCACTGTGCCAAGGTCTTGGGCTGGACATCTGTTGTTTATGCTCAGCCGTGCATTAATGTTAGCCTAGATTATATTGCCTCACCAATAACAACACAGTTAATTTCTGAATGCAGATCTGATGTTACCAGGAGTCATTCTCCAGCAATCCGGCCTGCCACGACTCAGTAAGGGTCAGCTCTGTGCAGTCTGCCTGCTAGGCAATCAAGCTCCAATAGCCATCGGCCATGCCGCTATGTCCAGTGACGGTATGACGGCCAATGGAATGAAGGGACGAGGCGTTCAAATCATCCATTGTTACAAGGATATGCTGTGGTGAGTGCTTGGGGAACGTTGTGTGGAACATTAATTATGCGGCAGGATTCACGACTAGCACGCAACTGCTTGATTTTTGTGAGTCAAAATTAACCATTCAAGTATCACGAAGAATGACTTCAAACATTGGGGGGGGGGGGGGGTTTTGGGGGGGGGTAGCTTGCTATTCATTTTCACTCTTGGAGGACGACTGCATTAAGGAGTGCATCAGAATTATAAAATCATTGATGTCAGATGTAACAGGGGCAGGAAAGAAACCCAACTTTACAGAATGCCCTTCACCAGTGTAATTTCATACATCGCCTGAAAGCACTCTGTACGAAGAATTGTGAGAAATAAATTCACGATCTTACTCGGGTAGGACTCGAACCCATGACCTCTTGCTTACTAGTTTGGATGTCTTAACTCTCGACCATCAAGCTTGCTAGACTGTCTGGCCGGCTAAAATCTGATATTAGAAGATCGATATTTTGAGAATTGGAATGCCATTCTCTAAACAGAAAAATGTCAGGATGGGGCTGAAATCAGTCTATTTTTTAAATTGTATTTAAAAGAAAACACCAGAAATTCATTAAAATTTCTTGATGGGTGTATTTCTCAGGGCTCAGGGAAACAAAACGTCCTTACCAGACATCCCTCTCCCCCCGCCGAGCGGAATATTTTCTGAAGATTTCACAGAAGATGTCGCATCTGCAGAACAGAATGGCACAGCCACTGAGGCGAGTAACTCATTACCGGCCATGCTGCAAGACGAAATGGAGCCACAGCTTAGTGAGTTAAATCTTGAAGACGGTCCAGCTGATGCTGCAGGTGGTGGTGAGGGAGCAGAGGAGGGCGATGAAGAGGATGCTCTGTCTCCAACGGGTGAGACCTGTGATAAGATTTCACCAACCAACCTGTGCCTGGAAACTACTGCATACTTCTTGTTGTGTTTGTGGTCAAGTCCATCTCATGTCCATCACAAGTCCAGTCCCAAGAAACAGTGGATGAACAGTCACACAAGGAATGCTATTGCACAACGTCATTTTAAGAGCCTTAGTTAACATGTGATGGACTTGTGAGGACTTGTGATTGACTTTTGAGGACTTGTGATGGACTTTACTCCAACACTGCCTTCTGGTGTCTTCAGCATGGAGATGAAAAAAATCTACATTTTATAATATTGCAGTCATTTAATTTTTTCTTGGGTGGGGGGACACATGATGTAAGTTTGAAAACCATGCAATGCATCAGTGCTTTCATCTGTAACAAGACTTAATACTGTATCGACTTGAAAAAAAGATGTGTTTCATTTTCCAATTGGACCAAAAAATATAGTTGTGCATGCCACAGAGCAAAATCTACTTTTAACAAGCTCAATCGTTAGTGTAATTTATATCCTTTGGGAATGGGTGGTTTTGGTTTGGTTAAGGATGAGGATAGTACATAAAATACAAGTTTGTTGAAATGAAGTCAAATTCGTTCGTGATTTACTTTCTTTGATTTACTTTTAGAGAAGATGGATGCTCTGTTATACCAGTGCACACTACACAGTCTGAAGTCTAAGATCAAACCATCAGATCTACCCCTGCTCACCAGTAACTTCTTCAGATCCTATGTTGTAGCTTGTTGGTAAGTTACGTGTTCTGGAATTTGTGTCCAGAAAATCTATTCACAAATTTGACAAATGAAATCATAAGATATTGTGTACAGCTGCATTCATTGAGATTTTGCCTGCCAGCGACTGGTAAGAATCAACAGAGTGACTTGCTGCATGTAGTGTCTGATTTCTTATCCTGATTTCTTATTCAACAAGCTGGCAAAGAGCAGTGGAGTAGAACAATCTGGTTCAGAACAAATTAGTATCGGTTTTGTGATATTCAAGCTGTGTTGGATTTGTTAGTGACTATTTTTTGGTGACACACATGTGCACTAATCAATTTGTTTTTGAATTTTCAAATACACTACAATGGAAAACTGACAGGGTTTATGATAATGGAATCACTCTCCGAGTGTTCCCAGTTTGCTATTTCCCAGGTTTGCAGCATAAGGTAGCAGACCAGTAAATAAACTTCCATAGACCCCAATGGTAAATGCTCCCACTTCAAAAATTCGGGAAAAATACTCACAACTCTCCAAGGTGTTCGAGACACACATCAAATTAAAGCTTATTTCATCATCTTTCATTTTCTTTTCAATTTTCGGGGGGGGTCAACTGATGACTTTTAGGAGAAATTTCCATCTGAAGATGATCACCCCTGAAAATAGTCCTGAAGCCCATCGCCATTTTGAAAAACGATGCCTACACTCCATTGCAAAATAGAGCGCTTTTAGGGTCCAAATTACATCAAAATTACACAGAACTGCAAGCTCCCAGTCCTGTGCACGGCTTCCACCCATATTTTCTACAAACCCTCAAGTTCATGGCCCACAGCATGCTCAAATACCGAAGATTTTGAGGGCATGCAAATCGCGATTTGGCCGGCGCATGCAATTTCGGACCGATTTACTGGTCTGCACCCATAATGTTGCTAGCATTGTGACTTAAGGCGTGTTCCCTGGCTACATGGAATATTGGGTTTACGGCTTCTGACTAGCACCCCTTGAACAAAGACATTGACAAAATGTGGAACCACCAACATTCGGTAGAGCGCGGGAACGGTAATCCGGAGGTCGCTGGTTCATACCCCGCTCCAGTCAATTTCTCAGGTTTCTTTTGTCTGAACAATAATTAGTTAGAACATAATTCCATTTCCACAGCCCTGAGGGCCAAACGTTAGACATGAAGAAGACCAGCTACAAGAAACTGTCCAAGTTTCTACAGAAGTTGCACTCGGAGGGGTTACTTGAGGTCAAGGAGGAGAAGAAGGGAGTTGACTTCATCACAGCTGTGCACAAGGACCATCCGGAGTAAGTCGATGTCCTGATGTCTTTCACTCACAGTTTGCCTGTAGACATTTCTCCCACCATCACAGTTTTACAAGCCATCACATAAGCATTCTTTAATTTGAGGTGCGCATTATATTTTTCGCCACCAATATGAATTCTCTGTGCAAGTACCCCCACAATAGTTACAAAGGCAGAGTTGGGGGAGACCACTGGCTGAAGGCTGGCACTGAGGTGAAGCCGTTATGGGTTTGTCCCGCACATAATGGGACTCACATAATGCATTAATACACTTATGTCTAAGTTTTGTCGGATATTAAGTTGTGCAGTCACGGCTGTGATGGGGCTTAACATCATGGGCAGGGCTTATCAGATTGATCTATTGTCTGACATATTTGAGGAGTTCAGGCAAAATGAGAACTGGGTAGAGGTCGAAATGAGGGTTTGCAGGTATTAGGAAAGAGAATAAAATTCTCCTAATACAATACTGTTTGTTGCACTTCAATAGGACATTCCGTTGACGAGTTATGGCTGTTTAAAGGTTGGGTTTATCGACATGTTCAAAAATTAAATACTGAAAAAAGGGCCTTTAGAGTTTTGAGTTTGCATTCGTGAAAATGAAAGATACCATTTGTTTTTCATTAAAAAGGCTTTTAGTCCAGCATTTTGATACTATTTCATTAAAAATAATGTGTAGTAGACAAATCAAAGATTACAAATATCAATAAATCTGAAAAGAAAAAAAATCACCCCCATTCAGTTTCTTGCATTTTTCTCCGCTACAGCCTGTGCCCAGTTCCGTCTCCTTTTTACCAGAACGCCTCACATGTATTCTTTTCATATTCCAATTGCTAGACTCCGTTCCTTTGTTGTGCCAGCATCAAATGACGGATCCTCTGCATCTAGTGGGAGTATCGGAGCATCAGCAACTCAGAGCCAGCTTGAAGTGAGACTAATGAACGGAGTGTCTGCTGATATGCTACCCATACTGAAATTATCAGGCTATGGGTAAGGATCTCCTCAGCAAGCTACACACAATCTTTTGGTTTTGCCACCTCTACTAGCCTCTATAAAACCTTCAATATAACTTTTAGTATTTTACTTCAATTTTGTCGTCCCTGTAGATATAGTTGAAATAAATGTTTCAAACACACGTACTGGTATTTCCTCAAAAACTCCTCGGATTAGTTCTCAGATTTCTTCAGACTTGCAAACATAAGTTCCTTTGAGCAATAATTTCCCTTTGAGGGAATTCCGAGACAGTTGCTTGCTTATTTGTAAAACCTGTCGAGAAAGTTTGCCCCCTTTTTTTCAATTTGTCGTTTTTATTATCTCCATGCCTATATGTTGTAATCAGAAAAAAATTCCCCTACAGCCCGCCATAATTTTGTGTAGTTGAAAAAAGATGTCGATCATTGTTTTTTTTCAGCAAAGGTGACTGGCTAACGCACGAGGCTCTAAGAGAAGCCGTGACTAACTACATCAAACACCACGACCTGGCCGACAAAGAGAATCCAAGGTGAATCTTTTAAAGACTCTGGGCATGCACTGTGTGCTCATTGGAGATAAGTGTCTTGCTCAAGGACACAAGCACTGTGGCTGCCCACTTTTCAAGAATCCCTCAAAGAATTTGTCCTTTTAAACCCCTCAAGTTTAAGTAAATAAAAGATACCTTTTTGGGACTTGAGTTACAGAGCTCGTATCTGTTTGTCCTCCATTAAAGGGAATATACAACATTTGCTTTTACTGCAATTTTCAGAGATAAATGGATTTGGAGGATAGGTATGTTATAGCAAATATTGTTAAAATGACTTGTTTCACATTTTGAGCTTGTAGATGCTGAAAAAAACAAGGAAAACCAATCATGTTCTTGTAGTCTGGTTCCTTGACCCCACTTAAGATGAAACAGAGAAATTTATAGATTTTTGGGAATTGTAAGGTCAGAGAATCAGTCTAGCAGCTTGTACCCCTTCACAGGTGTGTGATCAATTGCAAAGAAAATGCGGAATAAGTACTTATGAAAAACAAGGAGCAGTTTTTTAATAAAAACCAGTTTTCTCCAACGCTGGTCGGCCGACCAGCATTGGAAAAATACTATTTTTCTTGAAATTGTCAGCACATCAGGAGCCAAGTTTTACAAGATGCTTTAGACTGTCATTCCCTAACAATCCAGTTAGGTATTTCGTGATAATTTGATCATTTCGTTTTGTCATGTTTGCAAATGATGTATCTTCCCTTTAACCACACTCTGCTGCCCTCGTGTGCTCCTATGTGTTAAGTGCCTTGCAAAAGGACACAAGCACAGTAGCTCCCCTTCAAACCCCTTTCCTTGTTTTTATCGTTTGATTAGGATGGTGAACCTTGACGGCCCATTACACGATGCACTTATCAACCGGTCAGAGGGGTATGTGGAGAAACTCCGGTGGGATCAACTGTTTAGTAGGTGGGTTCGAACTCTCTGCATATTTTCATTCTCACTTGACATCTTTGTCTCAAGTTAGAAAAAGGGAAGGTTCCGGTCCTGTTGCGGCCGTTTGCAGTTTGTGTCTGGAGAATATTGACTTTTATTCCTTAACATCATAATTATTACTTGGTTAACTGTAAAATATTGATCTTGACTTCGTTTCGTGTAACTGTTTTTCTTTTAATTTTGAAGTTGAATAAAGACATTGACTTGAGCGGGGTTTGAATCTGCGACCTCCGGATTGCTGTTCCGGTGCTCTACCCAGGGAGCTGTCCAGCCCTATGTTGGCGGTTCCCCATTTCATCAATGTCTTTGTTCAAGGGGCGCTAGTCAGCACTGGAACGGCAATACGAAGATCGCAGGTTCAAACCCTGCTCCAGTCAATTTCTTTGTTCAGTTTACAAATTATTTTTATTTTTGACAGGTGTAATGGAAAAATGACATCAGGGCATGAGGTCATTCTGCCAGGTCAAAGGTCGTCAGGTCAGGGAAACACCAGGAAGGGGAAACTTCAGCCGATACAAATCAAGATTGAACGAAAATCTGGCAATAAGAATGTAAGTTTTACAATACAACTGTTCATTTGATAACTTCACAATTTCGTGGTTTTTAAGGGTCTCTAGACATTTGATCCGAACTTTCCGAAGTAATGCTCTCTTCCGTTTTTGTACAGGTGACAGTAATCCACAACCTAGAACCTTACGGTATAGAACCCAAGGACTTTGCGCATCGTTTACAGGTGGGCGTGGCAGCTAGTAGTACCATCCATCAGATGCCGGGTCAAGGGTCGGGGTCACAGGTCATCATACAGGGCAAGCAAGTGCGGTTTGTCGAGACATTGCTGACAGGTGAGCAAAGCCTTGTCTGGAATACTTGGCTACGGCTGAATGTGGGATGCTGGTTAGATAGAAGCAAGTGTATTGGTAGCCATTGCCAAGTCATTCGGACACAGCCTTTGAATGGAGGAAAATGATCCTAATTAGGGGTGGGGCTATGAATTTTCCAGAGGGGGAGATTTTTTTTCACTTGACTCTCCGTATACCCGTCCAGGATTTAAACCGGTTGATTTGAATCAGAATGACACGCAGTGCTTTTCTATTGCATTGCTGGAGCCAGTTAGGAATTGAAGAGGACGTCTAATTATGCCATGAATAACGTTTGACTTGGGATCACTAAACCCTCCTATGCAAACAAACATTCTGTGCCAAGTAGTCCTTTCAGTCAAAACAAACAAATGACTGCTTTCAACAGTTCCCAGCCTACATAAAGCAGGATTGACTGGCTGGGACTGTTTTTAAGTAACTTGATACAGCTATGCTTTGACTCCGGGTGAGTGATAAAACAGCTGTGACCACAACTTGCCTGTTTAGTCTGTTCAATGACCCAGTTCAACTAGTCACAGTGCTTGCTTGACATACTATCTGACTGCTGGTGACTAGCCTTCGCTCAAAGTATAGATGGGGAAGTGGAAGTGAATTTTGACTGTCTGTGACTGTTTAAATAGCAGGAGGGTTAACAAAAGTTGTGATTCATCTGGTCAATGCGCACAGCCTGGTTGACGGGCAGGAAGGGTTCACTAGTAAGTTGATCTGTCCAACTTCATACACTCATTAACTCTTTGGTTTTCACAGATCACTACCAGATTCCAAGGAGGTATATTCAGGGACTGGAGCTAGCAGCCAAGTCAGGGAAGAAGAGATGACGCAGGATTATCAACCTCATAGTATTGGACGTCAAAACCTTTCCAGTCACAACATAGCCGGGGGGAAAAAATGAAACCTTCAGTCAATTTTCTACGGATGCCTTACAGCAGACAAGTTGTGCCAACTTGTGCAAGGTTCGCGTCCCAGACTCGCTAACTTTTGCACAACCATGGAGATTTCTATTGAAACATCAAGAAATTTGTAATTCTGGAACTGTAGAAAATATATATGCTGTGTCGTGCATGAATACAAAAACTACAGGGCGCATAGTACCCTTGGCTCTGCCTCGTGTGCTATGAGACCCTCAGGTGTTAAAAACGCCGTATCCCACATCAGAGTAGTCAACAATTGTTAATGCGCCCATCGGGTGTTAAAGGTAGAGTAGATCATTTGCAGCTATCCAAAAAGTAACTGACAAAATTATTGTTGGAAAGCATACTTGGTTTAAAGGGAATATACATCATTTGCTTTTGCTGTAATTTTCAGAAATGGATGGAATTGGAGGGTTTGAAATATATAGCAAATATAGTTACACTGACTTTTTTGAGGTTTTGGGTTCGAAAATGCTATAAAAACCAAGAAAAACAATCATTTTCCTGTAGTCTGGTTCCCTGACTCCATATAAGAAGAAACAGATCAGTTTACATACATTGGGGAATTGTAAGGTCAGGGAACCAGTCTAGCTGGCTAGTACCCGTTCATAGGTGTGTAATCGATTGCAAACAAGTGCGATGGTCAATTGGGGCCAGTATTTGAAAAAAAGCCATTTTTTTCCAACGCTGGTCGGCAGACCAGCGTTGGAAATTGATACAAAAATACCACTTTTCTTGAAAATGACAGTATACCAGGTGCCATGATTTTACAGGATGCTTTACACTGTCATTCACTAACAGTCCAGCAAGGTGTTTCAAAATGATTTGGTAGTTTTATTTGTTGTTGTTTGCAAATGTTGTATTTTCCCTTTAAAGATAGTAATGGCACTAAACTCCCTGTGAAATTATTCCTTAGTGCATGCTTTTGTTTTGAAGAAAACAATAAAAGAAGGTCATTTTCAAAGATGCGTCTAAAGACGCGTTTTTGGAAATTTCCGTTAGTAATTGTAAATTAATAGTTTTTAATTCGGCGACTGCTGCGCTCAAGCGTTGACATGACGGACACTCGCGCACGGTTGCTACAATTTGTCGGTTCAGTGCGTAACATCACGCAGCTGCAATCGGCTGAATGAGAACGTGTCCCAGGCGTTGATTTCAGGCGCAATTCAAAACATGACTCGGCAACTTGAATTGAATTTGAGATCCTAGAATATGGTTTTCTCGGAATATACAGCATTCACTGGGCTAAAATTTCATCAGGTTAGTTGTTAATCACCCTTCTTTAGAATTAGAGCACTTTTGTTGCTTCAAACGAAAAAAATGCACAAATGACAAATGATGTACTCTACCTTTAAAAAAACCATATCCCACATCAGAGTAGTCAACAGTTGTTAAATGTGAACTATGCTCTGTGATACAAACTTCACGTGTCAAAGGTGACAGGGAAAAAAATCTCAGTAAGAAGTGCAGCTAGTGAACTGTTCTTCAGTTACAAAAATCAACATCTAAAATACTGTGTTTCTTGAAATGTTGTAGACAATACTAAGGGAATAACAGTGTGAGGATCCGGTCTTCACTGCGTGATAATGACCGGGTGTGGGGGTGACCGCTGTTAATGGACCGAGACGAAGTCGAGGTCCATTAACAGCGGTCACCCCCACACCCGGTCATTATCACGCAGTGAAGACCGGATCCTCACACTGTTATTCCCATTAATAAATACCTTTATGACGAAATAAACAGTTAAAATGCTCCGATTTTGTGACTTTCTTTCGGCGATATTTCCAGACTTTTTTGTGTTCATGTTCATGGGCCATATTTTAGCTTAACAGCTATAACGACGTAAACTCAACAGAAACTGCTGCCGTAGCGAAACAAATTACAACAATGTTTTCATATCGTTACCTGATGGAGGAAGCTGAAATCTCGTTTACACATTCCTTGTGTCCGGAATTACAAAGATGCTTGGTTTAGGAAAGGTAAATATGTCGGTGGGTGAAGTGTTCAAAGAAAATAAATCGTAGATCTACGCTTTCATCGTAAACATCCTCAGTATATTCTGCAACTGCTGCTGTACGATGTCGTTTCAAAACTTCCTTACGCGCGCGCACGCACGCACGCATCCCTAGCAACTGTGTTGCGTACGCGCGCGTCAGTCTCACGCGATGGGGGTTGAGTGCATGTGCAGTGCTCAATTGTTAAAAAGCTACCGCAGGACTGTTACTATATTTTGACCAATCATTGGCTTGCATGGGGCTGAACGGGGCTGGATCAATGCTGGTTCAGGGGCCATTTATTGGCTTGATCTTTGAAGCCGGTCCATTATCACCGTTAATGACCGGCCACGTGATCGAGTCTCGACCAATCAGAAACCATCAACTCTCCAAGGTATTTATTAATATCACATAATGTCACGTTTATTTATCATTCAAGTCATAATATTAAACACTGATGTTATAAAATGAAATACAAAATAAAAATGTGTACATTGTATGTACGGGAGTCATAACATTAAACACTGATGTTATAAAATGAAATACAAAATAAAAATGTGTACATTGTATGTACGTGGAGAGTGTTACACTTGTACTGTTTCTTTCTGTTACACGTACAATGATTACAATCATCAAAATGTTATAATTTTAGTCTTACATGTCTTGACATATTTTTTCAGATTCGTTATTTCAGTATCATTGACAAATTGACAAGAACTGCAAGAATTTACAAATATATTTCTTCAGTAAATCCTGTTTAAAACAAAACACATCAAGTCAAGACATAAAAATTACATGTACTTCTATAAAAAGGCAGTACTTTATTGATAAAATATCTCGCTTTCTCCGCTTGTTTAGTTGGGCCGTGTCCGCATTACTTGACTACGTCTGGAAATAACACACGGGCCTAAGGCCAAAAAAAAAAGGTCTCCGGTTTCTGGTATGCACGCTTATCGCCGTAGCCATGCGCGTCGGCAAAATGAAAAATTTTTTTTTTTTTTCAATGTAAGATGATGTCTAAAAACTGCCAAACTCACTGGTTTGACTGGAATCCTGCTGCTGCACATGTTTTTAGATGGGGTTACGATAGAGTATAAGCTTTATGTGGCCTCTCTGGACTCCCATATTTTTGCACTAAATTCAGTCGGGCACCATTTGCAGTCATCAACCGACATTTGAAGAAAAAAAAAGTAAAAAAAACAATAACAAAAAGCCACATCGCTGCACCACTTTTAGGGAAAGCTCCATACCAGAAACCGGAGACTTTTTTTTGGCCTAAGGTAAGTGGCTGCAGCCACTACCATAGGCGCTTGTGTAATTTCCTGCTCTAGTGTAATTTTCAATTTTATAGTTGTTCCTGGATTTAATTTTTTTTGCAAGATCTTTTAGTTTCCCCTTCTTTCATTCGGCGTTTTAATCTTGAATTTTCGCCCAGCTGCACTTGGGCGTTCGTCATCGGCAAGCCGAGAACACTGTTCGTGAGTCACTCAAGAATGGGTTTTTTTAATACTCCAACACACTCTGTTGAAAACTTGACCCAAGTCAGATCTCATTGTTGGAACATTTTGAGTGATTTGGTGTACAGTACATGTACATATATATGCATACATATTCATATTTTTCGCTAACAAACTACCAGCATTTTACAAAGCAACTTTTAAAAATACCTGAATTAATACAGCAGTTACAAGAAAAATGTATAATACATTGTACAAATACTTTTTGCGTGCAATAAAAAAATACAAAGTTTGCAATAAAAAGCAATTTTATGTGAAGAACCTGCATATTGTTATGATTATTTTATACTCACAACTTTAATACAATAAAGTTTACTGGCATATAATACTTGTATCATTTTATGTTTACCAATGTAAAGTAAATGACATTTAAAAAAAATACAAGGCTGTTACACTCCATTGTATGAAACATTTACTACCATAGTATTAAAGTTTAAAAAATATAATATATATAAACTGGCATCGCGGAAAACAAATCTACATTTGTTCAATGAGGTTACCAATATGGGCATTGTATAATATATCTGCAAAAAAATATATATATCTGTGTCTGCCCAAAATAATTGTGAGGATGTGCATTAACTAGCTACATGCGCATGTACATGTTGTTCATTGAGCCATTTCTGAAATCAGGGGGTGAGTCTTAGCTGTGGCTTTTGTATCTGGTTCCAGAAAGAAAAACGTGTCTTAAAGTCCTTCAATGTTCAAACCAAATTAGGGCTGTCCATATTCAAATAATTTAGTATTCGATTATTCGAAACAGCATTTGACCGAATATTCGAATATTCAAAACTCGCCGATCAAGTTACACACACAAGCTGCAACTGCGTACCGCCCCCGTCACGTTTTACGCAATTTTCGCAAAGTGCGCCGGGTAAAATTTGCGCGCGGCATTCTATGTTATGGGCTGCTGGGAGGTTTTGCAGTAAGTATTTTTTAACCGTCCAGGGCTTTAACCTGCTAAAAGGATGAACAACGAACCGCCGTCGACAAAAACATTTGCAATCGCCGTCGACAAACAGTGGCGTCTGACGATAAAGCACTGTAAGTTTACGATTAAACTAACATCACAGTCGTGTACGTGCATACTCAGGGGTTTTTTTCTCGAATATTCCAACCGGTAAAAAGCTATTCGAATAATCGTTTCATGATCGAATATTCCGTATATTCAGGACAGCCCTGAACCCAATAGAGACTTTCAACCCCAAAAAACAAGCATGGCTTTTAAAGTAAATCATATGAATGATCAGTGTTGCAACCAAGTCCATCACAAGGCTATCACAAGTCACCCAGCACCAAGCCAAGTCACAAATTATTCAAATAAACAACAACAAAGGCATTCCTTTGCTCCTGGTTATCCCGTCTTACTTGTGCATGGACTTGTGATTTACTAGTGACCGGACTTGTGGTGAACTAGACTACTACATTGTAAAAACTCAAGGTAACAAAATATTTGGCTGATGAATTCAATACAACAAATACAATCATTCACCAAGTTGTCCACCTCTATTATAAAAGAAATGTAAGTTAAAATGTATAAGTTTGCTTTATTTAAGCAAAGATAAACTTTTAAACAGATAATCTTTCGTAATACACTGTAAAATACATGTACTACACGTATTCATGTACATAATGCCTCAGACTTTGCATGGCCCTGAAGTCAATGCAAAAGTAATTGCAGATCAAATCACATGTTTTTTGGTATTGTGCAGACCCGTTGAAAAAGAAGAAAGAAGGCCGAATTCATGTTAAAGAGAAGTCTGGCTTCTCAACTGTGAATGTTACCCAATACCGTCATTGGCTGGGGTATCATGCTGGAGAGCAGTCTGGCTTCCAGACTGTCTGATTATTATTCAGCGTCATTTTGGGTCTAGGTATCATGCTACAGAAAAGTCTGGCTTCCCGACTATTTGAATTTTACCCAACGTCATGGGCTGAGGTATAATGCTGGAGAGAAATCTGGCTTCCAGACTGTCCAAATGTGATTCAGTGTTATTTGGGGGTAGGTATCATGCTAATTTACAAAAGTCTGGCTTCCCGACTGTCTGAATGTTACCCAGTGTCACAGGCTGAGGTATCATGCTGGAGAGAAATCTGGTTTCCCAGACTGTCCAAATGTTATTAAGTTTCATTTGGGTCTAGGTACCGGGTATCATGCTTATTAACAAAAGTCTGGCTTCCCGACTGTCTGAAAGTTACCCAACATAACGGGCTGAGGTATCATGCTAGAGAGAAGTCTGGCTTCCAGACTGTCTGATTGTTACCGGATGTTGTCATGGGCCGAGGTACCATGCTGGAGAGAAGTCTGGTTTCCAGACTGACTGTTATTTAGTGTCATTTTGAGTCAAGGTACCATGCTGGGGAGACGTCTGGTTTCCAGACTGTCTGAATGTCATTCAATGTTGTTTTGGGCCAAGGTACCGTGCTGGAGAGAAGGCTGGGTTCAAGACTGTAATTGTCTGGTGACCATTCAGGACCCAATGTGCTTCTCCATGGATACTCCAAATCTCGCTGTCTGGGTCGAAACACTCGATGGTAAACTCATCAGTTTCGCTGTAATCACTGCTGCACACTTTCCCTCCGATAAGGAACAGCTTGTTGTTGCAGGCTGCAACCGATGCACAATGTCTTGAGATCATAGGTGCGTCTGTCGCCGCCCACAGCTGGTTTCTGACGTCAAACCGGTACATGGCCATAGTGAAGTCATTCTGGTTGCCGAGGACATACAGGCTACCAGCCAAAGCGACCATATTAGGGCGCATGAGTCGCGACGGCAGTGGTTCACACCCGACCCAGTTTTCCAAGAGAGGACTGTAGCAGAACATCTCGGAGACGTAACGGGAGCCGGACGTACCCCCGAGAACGTAGATCTTGCCCAGGCAAGCTGCTGCAGTGGTGTGGATAATCCCTTCATTCATAGGCGCCACGTCTACCCATTGCTTGGTGATCTGGTTGAAACGCTGCACGCTTCTCACGCGAGTGGTATCCACAGGCTTCAGACCGCCCAGAATAAAGGCCTCGTTATCCAGCGCCACCAGACAACCGCCGTTACGACCCTCCATCTGGTTGGTCAGTAGTGACCACTTGCGCTGACCGGTAAGGTACAGCCAGGCTCGGTGCTGGTTTGTGACCACGATGATGTCGTTGTTGACAACGGCGGCGGTGGTCACGAATTCCGTGCTGCCACACCCGAAGGGGGACTCCGGTAACTCCTCCCACCTCTGATGCTTGGGGTCGTACGTCAGCATGTTGGTGGCTTTCTGGTCGGAGCCGTCCACGCGGTAGCGGAATTCTAGATCCCCTATCAAGATCATGAGTTCGGAGTAGGTTCGCATGGACTGAGCCCTGGATTGGAGCTCACTGGAGGTACTGCCGATGCTCCGAGATATCGAGGTGCCCTTAGGTCCGTGAAAGGAGCGTGCCTTCTTGACAATCCTCAGGCAGTCGTCAAATTCCTGCACCAATGGTTCACCAGCTGTAAGAAAACAAGGGATCCCTGGTTATATCAAACGCACTTTCATTACATGTTAGATTGGTGGCAAATGAATATCCTCAGCTGACACTTGTCCTGGTATTACCAGAAGATTAAAGGGAAAATACAACATTTGCAAACATCAAAAAATAAAACTACCAAATCATTTTGAAATACCTTGCTGGACTGTTAGTGAATGACAGTGTAAAGCATCCTGTAAAATCATGGCACCTGGTATGCTGTCATTTTCAAGAAAAGTGGTATTTTTGTATCAATTTCCAACGCTGATCAGCCGATCAGCGTTGGAAAAAACTGGCTTTTTTTCAAATACTGGCCCCAGTTGACCATCACACTTGTTTGCAATCGATTACACACCTATGAACGGGTACAAGCCAGCTAGACTGGTTCCCTGACCTTACAATTCCCCAATATATGTAAACTGCTCTGTTTCTTCTTAAATGGAGTCAGGGAACCAGACTACAGGAAAATGATTGTTTTTCTTGGTTTTTATAGCATTTTCGAACCCAAAACCTCAAAAAAGTCAGTGTAATTATATTTGCTATATATTTCCAACCCCCCAATTCCATCCATTTCTGAAAATTACAGCAAGAGCAAATGATGTATATTCCCTTTAATGGCATACACATTTTGAAAGGCTTGTATTTCAGAATCTTGAAAATCAAGGGCGACACAAAATGTCAAAGAATGAGTGTAAACTCTAAGGACTCCATGTAAAAGTTAACACCCCCCCCCCCCCCAACAGTTTCAAAAAGAGAACTAAGGCAAACTGATCAGTGTTGTCACTGAATGCAAACTACAGGCAATCATTAACCAACCTGCAATCTGCAACACGTACGCTTCTGGCATCACTTCAAAGAGAAGTTTCTCGAACATTGAAGTGAGGGCGCTCTTTCTCTCCTCGATGTCGTGATACACCCAGCGCATGACGGCTTCGTACACCTCCTCCTCCGAGTCCACGCCCACGTCCTTGGAGATGAAGTCCTCAATCTGCTCCCGGGTAAAGTCCAAGAAATCCTGGGTGAAGGCAACGTCGGCGAAGTTGCCGACCGAGTAGCCGCGAGCCTGTGCGCTGAGCTGCCGGTTGAAGAGCCGGTTGGCGACCTGCTCGGTCTCCAGACTGTTCATGGCATTCAAGCGAGTCTGCAGAAATCGCACGCATTCCTCCTCTATGGCCGTGAATTGGAAGAAGTTGGCCGCTTCGGCCACTGCGTTTACTGTGTCGTCCGTGAGGAGTAAGGAACCGGTGTAGCAGTAGTCGATGAACTGGCCCAGGATAGCTCCAGCTATTTCATGGAGGGTGATCTGATCAGTGTGGGTCTCCCCCATGTGACTGGTAAACATGGCACTGAAGTAGGGGCACGCGGCCGCCAGGACAACGCGGTGACAGTGGAATCGGCGTCCATCGTCACTCTGCAGGCAAATGTCCGTCAACTGTTCCTCCTTGCGTAGCGAGTTCAGTTGTTCCAGGAGAGTCGCAGGGTGTGAGGAGTGGTTGATGTGATTGGGAGATGACACCTGTCGCTGTAAGCCTCCGTTCCTGAAGGGGGAAGCGGAGCCAACTGACGTAGGAGTGGACGGCAAGGAAGCCATTCTTGACTTTATGGCAAACTGACTTCCATCCAGTCACCGACTCAAGAAAGTATCTATCCACAACGCAAGCAAAGGAATAGACACATTCAATCCAGTTAAACCACAAAATGATTTGAATGATTTCTCAAACTCAATCAATAAGCTTGAACCATCTAATGTTGGAAAAACCGATCTGAATCAGGAGGAAAACATTATGTAGTTTACTGCTGCCATGCCAACCTAACAGGAAAGAAAGCGGTAAATCAGAGGGGAAAAATAACCACTGTGCATGTTCAGTGCAGTACCGGTTCAGCAACGAAAACAATCAGGGACCAATTAAATCGAGCATTCATGGGTATTAAATGTTGTAGTTTAGGGCCCCATTCCATATTTATAAGTGAACGAAAAGACACTTTTTTGTTTTGGGATTTAATACCTAAACATCTGTCTATGAAACAAGCATGAAAAGTCACTTTATACTAGGTTATCGTGTACTTCTAGTTTGGGATAAGAGAATGAAAAGACACTTTTATGTTTTGGGACTTAATAACAGACCCACTAACTGAGCACAAGAACTCCTTTTTTCTCCCAAACTTTTGGATTTGGTCTGTTGTACCATGGAGAATTTTCATACTAGTACTACTAGCATTGACAGACCAAATCCAAAAATTTGAAAAAAGGAGTTCTACTACTACTAGCGCCCCAGATAGTGAGTCTTATAGTACCTAAACATTTGGCTATGAAAAAGCAGGAAAAATCACTTTGTGTTTGGAATCATCAAAATAGTTTGCTAAGAAGTAAGATACCCATGTTGACTTGAACATCCTTGAATATCCAGCAACGTTAATTTTGTGGAAAGAGTACGCGCATACTTTTGTTTTATGGCCAGTCTTTCTGATTTGATAATCATAGGCGTGTGAAAAAAGGCACACCTTGAATATTCTAGGCGTGTGGTTTTCTAGGTGTGTGATTTTCTACATGTGATTCTGTGGTCCACGGAAATTCAGGCGTGCAATTATTCACACTTCTCGGGAAGCTTTTAGGCGTGCGATGGCGTGGGGGTGCGATCGCACGCCTCAAATCAGATGTCTAATTTTCGTGAAATTTCATGTTGAAAATTTGATACAAAAACGTGTGCAAAGAATCTTGAAATTTCACAAAAAATAGACATCTGAAAAAGGCAGCACTTTCTGATTAGCCTATAAAGAGGGTGAGCATGCTTCTAAAGCAAAAATAAACTATAAACTAAGCCCAGTGCGTGAAATTAGACCAAAAAAGTGGTCAGACAAAATGTCCGAGCACAATCAAAAGTGTTCTGCCATTGTCAAGTTTTGATCTGCCATTTAGCGTTCCAAATTTGATTTACCCGCTCGTTTCTGTAGTAAGCCACGTTGTGAGAATTTAGTAACAGTCACGCACTTAAAGCATACCGCGCAACACAATGTACTTTGATCTTGCTAAATTCTCATTACATGTATGCGCGTCAATGTCCTTATAATACTCTATATTTCGACTCGTCACTATACAGACTCGATTCAAGTCTGCAGAACACATAACTTAATCTGGGTGAAATTGCAGTTCTGAATGTCCAAAGAGGCTCGATCGAATCATTATAGCAAGGAATAGAGGTTGAAACAGGTCCAATTTAACACTTTTGCCCAATAGAAATTAACTGGGAATTCCACAAACGGCCACTGCTCGTTTCCATAAAATGTCTTGAAAAGTACAAAAAGTTGTATTAACTGATTTGTAGAAGAAACACGAAGACTGCTGATCGAAACACAATTTATCGACTTGATTTCACGTCTATTTTTTGGCAAACGGCACGTACGTACGAATGCCAATCTATCGCTGTGCACGCCGCGCTGTACTAGACTGTGTAATGATTGGGGTGTAAACGCGTTGCATCTATTGCGTGAATATAAGACAACACGTACATGTAGTTAGCAGCCGCTCAGCGTACGGTAAGTATTACAGACCGGATCATCGGAAATAAACAACAAAATACTTTTGAGTGCAAGCGTTTATTTCATACTTCTGAAAAAGACAACTCCACAAAGAATACATAAATCGCTCGGACATTTTGTCCGAGCACATCTGCATTTGGTCGGACAAACCATGAAAGTGGTCGGAAAATGTCCGATGTCCGACTGTAATTTCACGCACTGAAGCCTAAATGTGAAAATCAAAATTTGACAAAGTGAAATTTTCAGATACATTTGCACACGTTTGCGTATCAAAATTTCAACATGAAATTTCACAAAAATTAAACATCTGAAAAAGGCAGCACTTTCTGATTAGCCTATCATGCCTATATAGAGGGTGAGAATGCTTCTAAAGCAAAAAAAACGTAAAAAGTAAGCCTAAATGTGAAAATCAAAATTTGGCAAAGTCGACACGTTTTTTGTACATGTGGATGTGTGGCCTATGTTTACGGAGGCAGTCCAGTCATGCCAGTAAATAGGCCACATTTATGGGGCTATATGGATACACGATACAATGACAATGTCAATGAGGGAATCTCAATGATGGCCTTCTCAACAATTAAAACGTACAACTACTTGAACTAGCTGGGGTTCTATAGTTGTACCGCTGGCTATTATTCACCAAGCATACATACATGTACAAAGTAAGTTGTGAGGATGTATAGCCTGTCAAGTGTCATTCATGTCCACAAACAGAATCATCACGGTGCACATAATGTTGTCAAATGGTGCATGAAATGGGGGGTTCCCGGTGTTGTCAAATGGTGCATGAAATGGGGGGTTCTCGGTCGGTAGGTGATTTCAGTAGCGCTACTGAACCCTACACACATGGTATCCTGTCACAACCTAAAATACGCACACCACTGAATAATCTGTGATGTGAACCACTAGCCCACTGTGTAAATCAGTCTCCATAGAACTTTGTACATTAAAAAATATATATATATAAAAAGCTGCTTTTTGAAGGGTAGTTGAAATCACTACTCACTACTCCATAGACACGTGTACAAAAAGGCACTACACAAGTCCTGCCGTGTAGGACTTTTTTAGTTTGTACACAGTTCTATGGAGTAGTGATTTTCCTGGCGTGTAGGACTTGTGTAGTGACTTTTTGTACACGTGTCTATGGAGCAGTGAGTAGTGATTTCATCTCCCCTCCCAAGAAGCTTCTTTAGTTTGTACACAGTTCTATGGAGTAGTGATATACTCATGGTCCATGGTCATGGTGTCGGATACAGAGAGCGTATCGTTGGAAATGTACGAGTAGTGCTTGTAGCGCTACTCAACACATGTGGCGAAATGTTTTACCCCATATCTTGCATGGTATTGTAGGTTAGACTGGTGCCTACAGCACTTGTGTGCCCTTTGCACCATTAACGTCAGTGTGTAGCTCCGATATACTTTGGGCGTGTGCTTCTGCGCGTAGGAATACGTTTCGTTTACACATGGGGTTCAGTGATGAGTGAAAAGTCTCTGTGGTTTAGTAGTTCTAAGGTGGGAAAAAGATCGAGTCGGTACAAGAACGGATAAAACTTAAAAGTGAGGGGGAAAAAAGGGAAAACACAGGTAATGGGTGGGGGGGGGGGGGGAGAGGAAGCGCTTGTGATCCTCCGGACACAAAGCGTCACAGGAGTCCTGCGAGGTCGGACCGTATCCCCCGCATTTTAAGGGCCGGGGCCGCTGGTTGATTTGCAGGTCCGACACCCGGGTGATGATGGTGACGCAATGTCCAGCCAACCACTCACACTTCCCCACCACCCCGAAAAATATTGGGCACTTTATCAGAAATCATTGAGGTGTATCCGGGGGGGGGGGGGGTTATAATTTGATATTACATGTGTGGATGTATTTGAGGATGTGTTCACCATTTTGTTTAGGTCTCAGAATTTGGGTACCGGGGGGTAAGTGTTAGTCAGAGAAGTCAAGCGATTTTTGGAGGATATGTCTTTGGATGTTATATTTTTGGCACTTAATAAAGGAAGTGCTGAACATCGTCTGTGCTATATTGCAGGTTTCGCACATTCCGTTTGGGTGTTTGCCGATTTTGTGAAGGAAATTGTTTAGGCCGTTACATGTACCAAGTCTTAGCCTGTGAAGAGCAACTTCTTGGGTACTACGTTTCATTCCCCAAAGTGACTTGTAAAGGAGAAATTTAGATGTTTCGTAATTCATATTTTTGGTGGGGTCCAGGTTGGGAATTGTTTTATTCCAGTTTTTTTTTCAGTTGAGATTTGAGAATATGTTTAATTTCGATGTTCATTAGGGGTGCAGTGGTCGATTTTGTTTTTATGAATAGCAGATTTGGCAATTTGGTCGACTCTTAAGTTCATCCAGTGCAGTACGGAATCGATAGTAACTTTTATGCAATTGAAGTACGTGCACACAGCAGGAGAGTAACCGTAAGGTATAATGCCTGAACGGCAAAATTCTGCTAGATGCACTTCAAAAATCTGCTAGATTTAACAAAAATCTGCTTAATCACCTATTTTTACACGAAATACATTATACTCATGCAGATGTTTTAAAATTTCCTTTAAACAAAAAACCAAAAATCATAAAATTTCATTTAAGAAAAAATAATTTCAAAAAAATTACACATTTTTGCACGTGTTTAGCCTAGCTTGCATTATGGTCTCAAATTTACGTGTACTAATACACGTCAGGGAACCTCAATTTCAAGCTTTTTCAAAACCAATCAGCTATTATTTTTTTCAAATCTGCCATATTTTTCTGTCAGGTCACTAATTTTACAGAATTCGGCTAGAAATCTGCTAAAAAAAACTCATTCTGCTAAATTTTCTGTCAAACTCGTTTTTCCCCAAAAATTCTGTCAATTTAGCCGGAATTCGGCTTAAACGGTCACCCTGGTACCTAGCTTCAACAATTGGACTGTCTGGTTCCCAGCCCCTTATTTTGATTTTTATCCACAAAAATAATAGACGAAACGGGAACCAGTCGATAGCCATTTCTTAAACCTCGGCTATATTTTTGGTTGGGATTCGTCGTATCTCTCAAGATAAGTAATTGCGACCAAATTAAAAGACTCAGAATGTCATTGTTGATAAATATGAGCCAATATTTGAAAGCGAACTGTCCAATAGCTGGACATGAAATCTGTTCCGCATCCAGCGAGAGGGCCTTACTGGGTGGGGGGGGGGGGGGCTGATGCCATGTCTCGGGGGCATATTCCGGTGCACCCGGATCACACACCGAAGTTTACTTGTGGACGGAACCACCCCACCCCACCCCACGCCAAGAACATGGGGGATTTTCAAATCTTTTGTTTTGTTTTAAAAAGTCCAACGCCCAATAGACGATTTCGCTATAGGGACAAATAGTGGCTAACTATAATTATAGAGTTTTTTTAATTGAACAATGAAATGAACATAGTTTTATGTGCCTAATAACAGTTTGATATTGTTTTAATTATCACATGGGGTCAGTGGCGTAACTAGTTGGAGTCATAGGATAACCACCCCCCCCCCCCCGGCTTTGAGGCCTGTGTTCCCTCTGGTGTCCACCCTGGCCTGCCCCGAATCAGAGAGGCAAAAACGGAGCAATTTTTAGGTTCGGCGCCGGCTGGAGCACCCCCAAAAGTAATCTTTCGCAAACTCTTCTACACGAAACACAAAACGTTATGGATACATACCGCATATGTATAATTAGCATGATCAATGCAGGTTTGAAGGGCCATATGTAACTCGCGCCCATGCATGTACCGTCCGTACAATGCCAAATCCAGAACATTTCTCCGAAAATCGGGTCCAACTGAATGTTCCCCCAAATTCGATATGAAAAGCAAGGGCGAACTAGGATTCTTAATGTCATTGGTGCATGGTAGCGCAATTTTAATGTTGTCCCAGGCGCGGTTCTACGGGGGGGGGGGGCTAGGGGGGGGCTTTAGCCCCCCCCCCCCAAAAAAAAAATTGTGTCTAGCCCCCCCCCCCCCCCCAAAAAAAAATTCCGTAAAAAGAAATTGCATTAGCAAAAAGAAGGATTGTGATGTACATGCGAACGGTCTCCCCCCAAAGAAAAAGTAGTGACAAGGGTGAATTTTGTAGTTAATATAGTGTGAATGATTTTAGGATTTTATTGGCGCTCCCCATTGAAAATATGGCACCACCACCACCACCACCACCTATTGATTTTCGGAGGCCTAAGTGTCTGGAGAAAATAACCGTTCTACATTTCAGCACGCCTCCCTGAAAAAAATTCTGGATTCACCCTGCTACCCCCCCCCCCCCCCCCCCCCCCCCCCCCCAAATTTTGGTTCTAGAACCGCGCCTGTGTTGTCCGTAATGGCTGTCCTTTTTGCGACGTCACACTTTAAAAATAAAATGGATTTGGTGATTTCCTTTTTGGCCCACGTTTCCCCCCTCCCCCGGATCCGCCGTGGCGTATGCTTGCATGTCCCTGCACCTGTGGCATCTTGACAGAGCCAAGGTTTTAACCGTTTTTTTTCTCAGTGAGTACAATTCCAGCAAGTTCTAAATGCATGTATTCCCACTTTATAAAACTCAAGTTTATCAACTCGCTATAATAATTATGCGATCGAAGTCGTTGATTTGTGTTTCACACGTAGCTGCGAAAAACGGGGAAATTTGTTTCGGGAAATAAAAAGGCCATTATATCCATGTTTTGGTATAATAAAAAAAAGAAGTCAGTAAACGTAAGCTCTTGTGGAAGATGTGAGCCTATAGTGAAGATAAGAAAACTATAGTTTCATATATCAAGTTAAACATTCAGCAAAATAGATTTGTAAACATAGAACGTGGAGGACTAAAGTGACAAATGTACCCCTTAAAAAAATGACGTAGACATAATTATCATAAAGCGATTGACGCCCTTGACTACGTTACAAAAACAGCAAATTATGCCATGCGAACAACTTTTCGCACATTGAACTAAAAAAAAACCTGCGCGTAGGCTTGACCGTTAAACTTGAATAGCGCCCTCAATCAACTTGAAGTAATGTACAAATATTATGTAATCAAATACAATTCTTTCTGATCACAACGGCAAAGAACCCCCCTCAGTATATCTTTAATACTAAAATGAACACACGTAATTAACAGGAGCTGTTTTGGCGAGCTCCGTCACCGAAACAGCTAATTATCCGCGAACTACTTTTCGTACGTTTAACTCCCAAACCAAACCTGCGTAGGCTTGACCGTTAAACTGAAATTATGCCCTCAATTGACTGAGAGTACTATCACCACAAACAATCGTCATTGAACAATGTACTGAATTCTTTCCAATCACTACAGTACCAAGAATTTCGAACACATACTTTCTCTTCTAATATCGGGTGTTACGCACTCTGTTACATAATTGTCTAGCGCGTTCATTGTTCCGCCGAATTGCCTATTCAACTTCTCTCTGGATGGAGGAACCACCCTTCTCTCAAACAATTCTTCTTTTGTTTCACTTCTTGCAATCAACAATTCGTTGCATGTCGCGCGACCGTTCAGTCCGGTACTGGTCTCGCGCCAACTTACGTATGTCTAGGGCCAAATCCAGGACACAGTGGTGTTTTGGGTTTTTTTTAGGGTGGGCCAAACCTTCTTTTTTTGGGGTCCCTAGAAAAGGGGATCCAGTATTGAATATTCCGCCCCAAATTTGATATGAAAAGCACTGGGGCACTGGGACTCTTCATGGCATCGGTGCATGGTGGCGCACTTAATGCTGTACGTAGGTGGCCGCCTTTTTTTGCTACGTCACTTTAATAAAAAATAGTTTGGTGATTTGTTTTTATTTTGTTTTGTTTTGTGTTTTTTTTTTGGGGGGGGGGAATGGCCTCCGTTGCCCCCCCCCCCCCCCCGGATCCGCCGTTGCGC